CATGCATGATGGTATGGGATCCAAGAATAATTAGAATACCCACCAATCCACCAAACCCATACGAATATCCACACTATTCATATGCTATACAAACAACAACAGCAAATAGCCCACACTTAACACCAATGCAGCAACAACAATTGGTACAACAACAGCAACAACAACAACAACAAAGACCACCAGCCAACCATCCTATAGTAAATAAATCAAACAATAGTAGTCCAGTAGATAAATCACCATCAAATACCACCACAACTACTACAAATAATAATAATAACAATAATAATAACAATAATAATAACGCCAATGGTAATAATACTGTCACACCAACAGAACCTCCAAAGAATTTTAGTGGTGAAGTATTTTTCGATGATATTGGCCAAGAAAAACCACAAAGAAGACGGAGAAGAACCATGTATTCAAGTAGAAGAAATTTAAAATGTCATTATTGCGAAGTTACTGAAACTCCTGAATGGAGAAGAGGTCCCGATGGTGACCACACACTTTGTAATGCATGTGGTTTACACTATGCCAAAAGCCAAAAGAAATTAGCTCGTGAAAAAGAACTAGAAAAACAAAGAGAAAATACAAGAAAACACAGTATCGATTTTATGTTAACTGAACCACCTTCAACAAATTCTCAAAATACAACTCCGCCCAATTAAAATTAATATAAATAATAACAATAATTAGTAATAATTAATTTAAACATCACCAACCATTAAAATAATTAATTTGAAAACTTAAATCTCATTTATTTATTTACCAAATCGAATATTATTTATTTTTAGAAACAACAAGAATCAATCAAAAATTTCAAATAAAAATAACCCCCACACAAAAATATTTCCTTTTTTTTTAAAAAAAAAATAAATAAAAAAATGAAATAAATATATATATATATATTTATTTCTTGTATATTATTATTAAATATAATGTTTTCTAAATAAAGATATTTAATTAACATATTTTAAAATTAAAAAGTAATACAACACACAAATATTTTTTTTTTTAATTTTTTTATATTTTTATTTTAAAAAAATTAAGCTTCAATAAAATATTTTTCATTTTTAAAACCCAATTACCTTTAATTATATAAACTATAGAAATAAAATAACTAATAAATAATATAGAAAAAAAACTATATATATTAAATATATAATAATAAAAAATGGAAAAAATAGAAACAAAGGGCAATAATTCAAACTTAAAATTTTCAGCAACAACAGAAGAACTTCAACATTTTAATAAATTTATTAGAGAATTTATGGCAATTTACAAGAGTCCAACCAAATCAGATTTTTTAAAGCATTTAGATGGTGATGCAGAAATACTTTTTTTAAAAAAAAGTAATGATGAAAAGAAATCTCTCGAACAAATTATAATAGAATTAAGTGAGGCATTTGAATTAGTTAAAAAAAGTGATGTAGATTGCTTTTTAGATTTCCCAAAACAAAAATTTTCTTCACTCGAAACACTTATTTCAAAATTTATTTTAATCAACGAAGTTAAAGAAATTGATGAAACTTTTAGAATTCATATTTTCCTTGACTCTCTTCCACCAATCCTCCGTTATGAAGTTTCAAAGTGTGGTCCAATTTCTGTTCAAGATGTTATTTCAAAAACTCGTTTAGTTGAAAACAGTAGTATTAATTGCTTCAATTACTCCTTATTTGATGAAAATCCAACAATACAATATGGCTTTAATCAAAACAACTCACCATTCCTTATTACACCTCAAACCATTCCACATTATCTTCAAAATCTTGATAAAAGTCGTCAACAAACAATTAACGGTGGGGAATTTTTTGGAAGCTCAGTCCCAACTTCAGGTCCAGGTGTTTCTCTCAGAAGAGCCATAGATTGGAGACCTCGTGGTGGTTTAAATAGAGCTGTCATCTGCTTTTACTGCGGTATCTATGGTCATAGAGAAATGGAATGTAGAAAAAAAATATTTAACGAAAATAGAATAAAAAATTATAATAATGAAATAAATAATAATAATACCAACAACAATAATACCAACAACAATAATACCAATAACAATACAAATGCCAACAATAATACAAATAACAATAGTAAAAATCAAAATAATGATAATAATAAAAAAAACAATGGTGAAGTAGCTGCAAATAACAACCCAAATGGTAATAATAAAACCAACAATAGTAGCAATAGTACCAACAATAACAATAGAATTAATATTAAATCCAATCCAAATAATATTAAAAGCAACCACAAAAACTAAAAAGATCTCCTCTATAATATATTTCCTTTTCAATTTTCCAATGATAATTTTATAATCCCCAACTAGAATTTAAACAAATAATTTATATTTTCTTTAGATAAAACTTTTCCTTTCTATTCTTTTTTAGATTCTCTAAAACTATTTAAAAAAAAAAATAAAAAAAAAAGACAAATAATTTTTTTTTTTTTTTGTTTGTATTTGTATAATTTAAATGTTACAAAATTAATAAATTTACTTTGCGAATTTCATAGTAAATTCACGTGCTTTATTATCATGTGCCTCTTTATCGTTAATTAGTTGTTCTGCGATTGTTGAAACTAAAGGATCGTTTGGATTTGGATCTGTAAGAAGAGAAGAAATTGATAATAAAACTTTTCCTATATTTAATGCTGGACTCCAATTATTCTTTAAAATATCTAAACAAATATCTCCATTTGAATTTATATTACAATGATAAATTTTGGTTTTAAATTGAATCTATTTTTAAATAAAAAAAAAATAATAAAAAAAAGATAATTGTTGGTAATCTATACTATTTAAAACCTTTGAATATAGAGTATTCTATATTATAATGTGTAAACATACCTTTGGTGGTTTAAATGGATAATCTACTGGGAATAAAATATGTAAGAAAAATACACCTCCTTGATATGGTGAACCATCTGGTCCAATAATAGTACTCATCCATTCGTATAAATTATCACCTACTGGGCCAGCGGAACAACCAGCTGGTGGATCTGTTGTTATATCTGCAAGTTCTTTTTGAATTCTAATAAATTAATTATATATGACAACATATTAATACATGATTTGGTTTATTTTTTTTGTTTGTATCTAATTTTATAAAATACCTTTTTGTGGATCTGGCACCTTCGTTCATTTTTTTAAATATATATATATAAGTTAATAGCTAAATATGTATTTATAGGTATATATATTATTTAATAAAGAGATATTTATTTAACAAAATAAAAATAAAATAAAATTAAAAAAAAAAAAAAAAAAAAAAAAACTTTTTTCGTTTCTTTTAATTTTTTTTTATTTTTAATTTTTTTTTTGTAATTTTTTTAATTATTTTTTAAAATTAATTTTTTAATTTTTTTATTTAGCACCAAACCATCTTATCCTTTAATGAATCATCAACAGTCATCAAGTGTCACCAACACCAATAATAATAATAATAATAATAATATTTATGAAAAAGTTAGAGAAATATTAGAGTTTTATTTAAGTGATTCCAACATAAGAAGAGACAAATATCTTTTAAATTTAATTAAACTAAATAATGAAGGATGTAAGTTTCATTTTCATTTTTATTTTTATTTGATTTGATTTTTTGAAAAAAAAAAAAAAAAAAAAAAAAAAAAAAAAATATTTTACTAAAAAAATCCTTTTTGGTATTTAAGGGGTTGGTTTTTCAAATTCTTTGGGGGTTAAAAGGAATAAAAAAATTTTAAATGAAAATTCCCAAATTGGGGCCAAACCCAAAACCAGTAAAACTCTTTTTTAAAGATTGTAAAACATTGATATTAAACAATGATAAAAAGAAAATCAAAAGAATTCAACCATTTAAAGAGGAATTAACCAATCATGAAATTAAGGAAATTGATGAAAGAACCATTTATATTGAACCAATTACAAATGATTTATCAAACAATACATTAATTGAATCATTATTTTTAAAAGATAAATCAATATTTAATAATAATAACAATAACAATAGCAATATTGATAGTGGTGTCGTTAATAGTTCACCAATACTTCATATATCTATACCAAGATTTCCAGATAAAACAATAAAAGGTTTTTCATTTATTGAATTTTCATCAAAAGAATTTGCAGAGAAAATGATAAATCAAATTGACCAATTCCCAGATCAATATAATAATTTAATTGCAATTTCAAAACTAGAATGGTTAGAAAAGAAAAAACAATTTTCATACTTATCAAGTAAATCAAGATATTTAAAGATAAACAATATACCAAACTGTATAAAAACAATTTTAAAAAAAGATACAGAAATGAACAATAATAATAATAATAATAACCCAACCGATAACACAAACAATGAGGATGACGATATTAAAATTATAGACGATCAAACCAAACCAATCTTAATGAATAAACCACACCTTTGGAAATTTTTTGATAACGAAACCAATATTTCAGTATGTTTTTTAGATTACAAAGCTGGCAATAGTGAAGCTATTTTAAAATTTTCAACACTTTCAGATTTACAATATGCAATCGATCAATTCCAACAAGGTGAAATAGCAATGTATGATAATGTGTTCCATATAACTGAATTTACAGAAAAAGAAATTAATTCAGAAAGAGAAAAAGTTTCATCACACGAAGTTTCAAAATTGAAATCAAATCCATATCGTAATAATAATAATAATAGTTCTGGTGATGATAACCACAACTCTGCCGATAGTGGAGGTTACAAAAAGAGAAATAACTATAATAATAAGAGGAACTATAATAACTATGAAAATAAAAGAAAAAGAGAATAATCATTGTCTTTTTCGTTTAATATTTGAATAAATAATTTTTTTTTATTAAAAGATATGTACAAAAGTAAATAATCAAACTAATGATTATTTGTTTATTTTTTATAATACAATAAATATTATTATTGTTTTTCTTATTTTTTTTTCTTTTCTTTTTTTCCTTTTTTTTTTTTTACCTTTCTTATTAATCTTCTAAAGAAGTATCTTTTAAAAATACAGGTCCTTTGGTAACTGGTATATTTCTAATTTTGTGGTAATCATCATATGAAATAAGTCCTGGATTTTCGATGAATTTAGCTTGAATTAAAGGTTCAACAATTGCTATAAAACCTGATGTTGATGACTAGATTAGAAAAGATATAAAGTTAGTATGAATTATAATAAATTGATATAAAATATAATTAATATACATACATTATCTTTTAATAATGAAAAATTAACGTTATTATGCTTTTCATCATTTTCAGTTAGATTTTTATTAATTTCTAATAGTTTTCCTTTAATGCAACTTCTGATATTATATTGAGTGTTATCTGAACAATAGATTTTACAAATGATAGTTTCTTTTTGAAGTTTAAAACCACCTCTTTTTTTAATACCTGAAACTTCGCTATTCATCGAGTTTTCTTGGAATTCAATTTTGCTAATTTCTTTTTTGAGTACTGGATGGGATGGTGCAACACCAATAATGGCTAATCCATTGGTATGTTGATTTACGTAGTGATCTTCAGTTTCTTCGACTTTACTTGATGGTTGTTCCTCACCCAACATATAATACTGTGTATAATATCTTTCTAAGACAGTTCTCATCTTATATTATTTGATTATTCTAATTTGATTTAAAATTAAAAATATGAAATATAAAAAAAAAAAAAAAGAAAAATTATTTTTAAAAAAAAAAAAATTTATTTCATTTTTTTTTATTTTTTTTTTTTTATTTTTTTAAAAATTTTTTTTATAGAGTTAATTTTTTAAAACCGAATCACTTTCGTTTTTTTTTATTTTATTTTTTTTTTCATATTTATTTATTTAGATAATAATTTATTTTATTTTTATTTGTTTATTTTTTTTTTTTTATATAATTAAATATATTATTTTATAAAAAAGAAATGAATAAAGGAAATAAACAAACTATTACAAATAAACCAAAAGTAGCAACACCACCAGTTGCTACCAACAAGAAAACAGAAAAACCAGTTGTTCCAGTTAAAAATAACATCCCAACTAAACCTGTATTAAATAATAAAAACAACACAGCTGTAAATAAAAAAGAAAATGAAAAACCAGTTTTAGGCAAAAAGAGAAAAGATGTTGAAGAAGAAGAAGAGGAAGAAGATGAAGAAGAATTAAGCTTTGGAAATATTAATGAAGATGGTTTTAGCGATGAAGATGAAGAAGGTGATGACGAAGAAGAAGAAGGTGATGATGACGAAGAAGAAGAGGAAGACGAAGAAGAGGTTGCAACTTTTGAGGAAGATACTGGTATTAACAGAGCTTTATTAGAAAATGAAGATTCATTAGTTGAATACAATTCAGATGATGGAGAAGAGGAAAGTATTAACAGTGGTAATATTTCATCATCAGCCGCAACATCAGGTGCTGAAGAAGACGGTAAAAGATGGTCAAGTGATCCAAATCAATTTTATGATAGTGAAGATTCATCAGAAGATGAGGTAAATATTAAAATATAGTTTATTTAAAATCTAAAAAAAATTTTAAAATTTATTAATATTTTTTTTTTTTATATAAATTTTAGACAATTGTCAATAGAATTGGTAATATCCCAATTGAATGGTATGACGACTTTGATCATATTGGTTACGATGTAGATGGAAATAAAATTATGAGAAGTGAATCAACTAAAGATTCAATCGATAGATTTTTGGATCAACAAGATCCAAACTTTTGGAGAACAGTTTATGATAAGGTTAATGATAAGAAGGTTGTACTCAGTGATGAAGATATGCAATTATTAAAGAATATTCAAAATAGAAATTTCATTCCTGGTTTCAACCCATATGAAGATTGGTATGATCCAGGACCAAACCCAGACAGTATTCATCCACTTCACAATGCACCAGTTCCAAAACGTTCATTCCTTCCATTTGGTACAGATGAAGAAAGAGAAATCCGTCGTCTTACTCATGCTATTCGTATGGGATGGATTAAAATCAGTCACAAAAAGAAAGAAAAGAAGAACAATTTCGATTTATGGGGTGATGGTACTAATAGTGAAGAAAAGCAAAAAGGTATTAAACGTATTCCAGCACCAAAACAAAGATTACCAGGTAATGTTGAATCATTTAATCCACCAGAAGAGTATCTTTTAACAGATGATGAAGTTAAAGCTTGGCATTTAATGGACCCAAGAGAGCGTCCACACAATTTTATACCACAAAAATACAAAAGTCTTCGTCAATTACCAATCTACAACAAATTAATTAAAGAACGTTTCGAACGTTGTCTCGATCTTTATTTATGTCCACGTAAATTAAAGACTAGAGAATTCATCAAAGATGAAACTAAATTCCTTCCAAAGCTTCCAAAACCACAAGACTTACGTCCATTCCCATCACACGAAGAACTCCAATTCCTTGGTCACAGCGCTCGTGTTAGATCAATTTCAATTAGTCCAAACGGTCAATGGTTAGCTTCAGGTTCAGATGATTGTACAATTAAAATTTGGGAAATCTCAAGCACTCGTTGTGTATATTCACTTAAAGTTGAAAACGAAATTCAAAGCGTTGCATGGAATCCAAATCCATTATATAACATCCTCGCCGCAAGTTACAGCAATAAAATCATTATTATTACACCACCAATTTATGGCCCAGAACAAAATCAAGAAACTGAAAAAATCATTACCAAACCAAACACCGAATCAACAAGCGAAGAACAACAAAATAAATCAGTTAATTGGTATAATGTCACTGACAGTACTTTGAAAGAAAGAGGCGTTCGTATTGAAATTCACCACCCATTCACTGTTAAAAATCTTACATGGCATTATAAAGGTGATTACTTTAGCAGCACTTCACCAGAAGAAGGTACTCGTTCAGTTAAAATTCATCACCTCAGTAAAAGAGCCACCCAAACTCCATTCAGAAGATCCAAAACACCAAACCAAGTCACACGTTTCCATCCATCCAAACCAATTTTCTTTGTTGCCGATCAAAATATTATTCGTGTTTATGATTTAATGAAGCAAGAATTAATAAAGAAATTAATCACTGGTTGTAGATATATTTCATCCATTGATATTCATCCAGGTGGTGATAATGTTATTATGGGTGGTTACGATAAGAGAGTTTCTTGGTTCGATTTAGATCTCTCTACTCGTCCATATAAAGTTTTAAATTACCATAAAATGGCTGTACGTAAAGTTATCTACCATCCAACCCTTCCAATCTTTGCCTCTTGCTCCGATGATCTTTCAATTCATGTTTTCCACGGTATGGTTTATGACGATTTACTTCAAAATGCTTTAATTGTACCACTTAAAATTCTTAAAACTCATCAATCTGTAAATGATCTTGGTGTTTTAGATATAGCTTTCCATCCAAAACAACCTTGGATTTTTAGTTCAGGTGCTGATTCAACCATCAGATTATATACCTAAATTAAAAGGAAAAAAAATAAAAAAAATAAAAATAAAAAAAAAAAATAAATAAAAATAATAAAACAAAAATAAATATAATATTAAAAAAAATTAAAAATTAAAAACTATAATAATTCAAATATAATTTCTTTCTAAAATTATTTCTTTTATTAAATTTTATTTGTTTTAGTTTTTAATTTTTAATTTAATTTAATTTTAGTTTTTTTAATTTTAAAAATGATTATTTGTTGGGTTATCTTTTTTCGTTTTCGTTTTTTAAAAAAAAAAAATTTTATTTTTTTATTTTTTTTTAATTTTTTTTTTTACTTTTTATTTATTTTTTTTTTTTTAAAGCATATTATTATTTTTAAACCGCATATTTAAATAAATTTATAAATTATTCAATACTCAGATAGTTTTTTATATATTTAATATATTTATAAAATGGCAAAAAAGAAAGGTCAAAGAGTAGAAAATCCAAATTGGAAGAAAATCGATACCGATCAAACATTAGTATTTGAAGAAGCTGGTTTTTTAGGTTTAGAAGAGATTGATGAAAAAGATTATTTTTTAACAAGTGATAATGCAAAAAAAATTGAACAAGAATTAAATAAAAAACAAAAACAACAACCACAACAACAACAAAAACCACAACAAAATAAAAATAAAAAAAGAAAATCAAATAAAGATTCAGATGATGAATATGAAGGATTTGAAGATAGCGATAATGAAGAAGCTGCTAATAATAAAAAACAAAAAATTTATACAGTCGATCAAGCTATTGATGTTTCAAAAGAGTTATTAGGTGATTTTGTAGAGGGAAGTGTAAAGCATAAAAAGAAAAATAAGAAAGGATTAAAAGTTAAACAAATTAAAGATGAAGAAATGAAAGAATCAGAAGAAGTTAAGCAAGTTAATTCTAAACAACCACAACAACAAAAACAAAATAATAATAATAATAAAGTTAAACAACAACAACAATCAAACAAAGAGGAAAATGAAACTGAAGAACCTCAACAAGAAGAAGAGGATGAAACTAAAATTAAAAAAGAAAAAAAAGTTAAAACTGAACAAGAGATTAAAACCACCCAAAGAAATATTCAAAAAATTGAAAAGATTAAAAAAAGAAAAGAGGTTTCAGAATTAAAAACAATTTCAACAGAAGAACAAAACCAATTAGATATGTCAGAATGGACTGCTTTAAATCTTGACCCATTAATTATAAAAGGTTTACGTTCATTAGGTTTCGAAAAACCAACTGAAATTCAATCTGCTGTTCTTCCAGTTGCTATTTCAAATGGTTATGATATTATTGGTGCTGCACAAACTGTAAATATATTAATAATAATATAATATGGAGTATAAATTACAAATATTAACATTATTTATTAATTATAGGGTTCAGGTAAAACTTTAGCATTTGGTATCCCAATGGTACAAAGAATTTTACAACATTTAAGAAAACATGGTCAAAGTGTTGAAAAAGAAGGTGAAACTAGAGATAAACAAATTGAAGAGGAAGGTGATGAAGAAGAGGAAGAGGAAGAAGAATCCACTGGTAGAAGTGAAGAGCATAGAAAATTATATTCATTGGTTATTTGCCCAACTAGAGAGTTAGCAATTCAAGTTACCAACCATATTAAATCAATTATTGCATTTACAAATCTTAAGGTAGTTTCAATTGTTGGTGGTTTAGCACAACAAAGACAACAAAGAATTCTTACAAAAAGACCAGAAATTGTTGTTGCAACTCCAGGTCGTCTTTGGGAACTTATTACTGAGGGTCATAAGCATTTAATCGAATTAAATTCATTATTATGTTTGGGTATAGATGAAGCAGATCGTATGGTTGAACAAGGTCATTTTGCAGAGCTTGAAAATATTTTAAAAACATTACCAACATTCAAAGGTGCAGTATCTAAAAAAGAGCGTTTAAAGAAACAACAAGAACAAGAAAAAAGAAATAAAAGAAGACAGGTCGAAAAATTAAATAGTAAAGGTGAGGTTATAAATAAGAGAAATAAAAAAGGTGATGAAGAGGACCAAGATGATCAAGAAGAGGAGGATGATGAAGAAGAAGAAGAGGAAGAGCAAGAAGAGGAAAAACATTTAACTACAACACATAAAAGACAATCATTTGTATTTTCAGCAACCTTGGTTAATATTCCAGGTGATAATCAACAAAATCAACATCAAAAAAAGAAATATAGAAAACCAACACCAATCGAACAACTCATCGAAAGGGTTAGATTCCAACGTGATTACAAATTAATCGATTGCACAATGAAAAGATTAACAGCTAAAAACCTTATGGAAACAAAGATATTTTGTAATTTAGAAGAGAAAGATCATTACCTTTATTATTTTGTCGAACGTTATCCAGGTCGTACATTGGTATTTGTAAACTCTATTGATTGTGCTCGTCGTTTAATTCCAATATTCAATATCCTCGAGGTACCAGTATTTTCACTTCACGCTCAAATGCAACAAAAACAACGTTTGAAGAATCTCGATAGATTCCGTACTATGAACAATGTAGTTTTGATTGCTACCGATGTTGCAGCTCGTGGTTTAGATATCCCAGGTGTTCAACATGTTATTCATTATCAAGTACCACGTACAACACAAACTTATATTCATCGTAGTGGTCGTACAGCTCGTTCAACTCAAGATGGTATTTCAGTTGTTTTAGTTACACCAAAAGAACGTCCTCTCTACATTAAATTAGATAGTGCACTCGAGCATGATATTGGTAATTTCCCAATCGATTTACGTTATCTCGAAGGTATCCGTGATAGAATATCATTAGCCAGAGAAATAGATCAATTATCATACAAGAGTATTAAAGAGAACAGAGAAAAGAGTTGGTACAAAAAGGCTGCTGAAGAAATGGATATCGAATTGGATCCAGATTTCTTTGGTGATGATTCAGATGATGACGAAACCGAAGAGCGTCGTGTAGAAGAACATAAGAAAGCCAATAAAGCCAAGGCACTTCGTTTCGAACTTAAACAATTATTATCAAAATCACTTTTACCACGTGGTTCATCACAAAGTTATGTTACCGCCACTGCAATCCAAGAGTTGGAAGAAAAGAGTAACTCATCTGCAACTGTTGATTTTGGTAAAAAAGCTAAAAATGTTATTGGTAAAAAACAATTAAAAGCAAAAAAGCAAGCTTTAAATCAATTAACTTTACTTAAAAAAAAGAAACAATCTATTTAAATAAAAATTTATAAATATATAAAATTAAAAAATAAATACTCTTTCAATATTTTTTTTTCAAAGATTAATTTAATTTTTTTTTTTTATATTTTTTTTTTTTTAAATCTTGCAAATCTAAAAAAAAAAAAAATATGAATTTTATTTATTAAATTTTTTGTATAATATTTGTAAATAATGTATATCATAAATCTAGATAATTATTTATCTCAAATTATTAATATTTAAAATTAAACAGTTAATTCATTGAAAAAAGTGCATTACAACACAAATACGGTAAGGGTATGAAAATAATTTATTTTAAAAAAAAATTGAATTTAATTTTAAAAAAAAAAAGATTTTTATTTTTCTATAATATTTTTTTTTTTTATTTTATTTTTTTTAAAATTTATAAAAACTTTGATTTCTCATTAATTGTTTTATTACTATAGTTAAAAATTATATATAATATATAAAATGGATAAGGTCCAGTCAATTCTTTCAATAAAAAGTAAGTTTTATAAAATATATTTTTTTAAAAAACTATTATAATTTTTTAATAATAATTTTTTTTTTTTCAATATAATAATTAATATTATAGTTTGTGGTGCCAAAAATCTACCAAAAATGGATTTAAATGGTTATGCTGATCCATATTGTGAAATTGTATTTGAAAATCAAGTTGTTTATAAAACAAATATTATAAAGAAAACTTTAAACCCAACATGGAACGATGCTCATTATAATTTACTTGTTCATGAATCAAAAAGCAAATATGATTTAACAATAAAACTTTGGGATTGGGATAAAACTTCTAAAAATGATTTTATTGGACAAGTTACTATTCCAATGGAGGAGCTTTTACAAACACCAATTCAAGATAAATGGTTAAATGTTTCCAAAGTTAAAAAGAATGGCAAAATTAAAGAAAGAGGTGAGGTTCATATTTTAACCAAGGTTATTTCAGAACATGAGGTTTATGATACCTTTGTTTCAAGTATTTCAAAACATTTCTCCCATACAGAGGATGAAACATTAAATATTGCAGATTTTACTGGTTTAATCACAACTTTAAACCCAGATTTCCCAGAGACTGAAATTGAAGAGCTTGTATGTATAATAATAATAATATTAATGGCAAACTAATAATATTTATAATTGTTATTAATATTTTTATTTTTATTTTATAGTTTAAAAAAACAGATGCAGATCAAAATGAAACTATTTCAGTTTCTGAACTTAAAGAATTATTTACAAATACCCTTGAAGGAAAGAAATTAATAGAAACACTTCTTCAAGATAACACAGATTTAATTTGGGAAGCATATCAAGTTTCTGATTCTTATTCCACTATTGCTGATAATAGTAAGTAAAAAAAAACAAAAAACAAAAAAAACAAAATTTATTAAACAAATAATTTATTTTTAATGTTTATTTTAAATATTAGTTTTCCATAAGGATATGGGTGGTACATTAAAATCAACAGATAAGGGTAGAAAAGTTAAGGTTATTTATGTTCATAATAGAGAAACTGGTAAATTAGAAGAAGAAAAGATTCCACATTATATTGAAGTTAGTTTAAGAATTATGTATTCAACATCAACAGGTAGAACAGCAATTGGTAACAGCCAAGTTAAACGTCTCATGAGATATTTAACAAATAAAACAGGTAGAAAATATGAATCATTAGAAAGTGTAAAAGAAATTGCTCCATTCATTAAATTCCACAATTTAAATACTGACGAAATTTTAGACCCAATTAATTCATTTATCAATTTCAATCAATTCTTTTATAGAAAATTAAAACCATCCGCTAGACCAATTGCCGAACCAAATAATTCAAAAATTGCAGTTTGCCCTGCTGATTGTAGATTAAATGTATTCTCAACCATTAAAATTTCAACAGAGCTTTGGATCAAGGGTAAAAGCTTTTCATTACAATCCTTGGTTCAAGATGAAAAATTAGCACAAGAGTTTGAAGATGGTTCTTTGGTTATCGCTAGATTGGCCCCACAAGATTATCATAGATTCCACGTACCAGTTGATGGTGTTATTGGCAGATCAATACCAATCGATGGTGAATTATATACTGTTAACCCAATTGCCATTAGAGAGAATGTCGATGTCTATTGCGAAAACAAACGTGTTGTTACAGAAATCATTTCAAATGAATTTGAAAAGGTATTATTTGTCAGTGTTGGTGCAACTCTTGTTGGTTCCATTCAATTAACAAATGCCACTCCTGGTCAAAAAGTAAAGAAAGGTGACGAACTAGGTTATTTCGCTTTTGGTGGAAGTACCATTCTTTTATTATTCAAAAAGAATACAATCGAATTTGACAATGATTTATTGGTAAATAGCTTAAAACCAATTGAAACATTAGTCAAAGTTAATACTTCATTAGGTAAAAGTTTATTACAATAATAGAAGTATATTATAAAAATAAAAAAAAATTATTATAATATTAAAAAAAAAAAAAATAAATTGGTGAAAATTCAGATGCAGATCCAATTTTTTATTTTTGATTTATTATAATTGTTTTTAACGACAAATGTTCAACAATGGATAATATTTAATAAAAGCTTTATTTATAGGAAATACAAAAGGATATATAATTGGTCATATTTTATTTCCTTTTTTACTTGTAAATTTTTTTATTTTTTTTTTTATAAAAAAAAAAAAAATTAATTTAAATATTTTTTCATAAATTAATTTTTTTTTATTTAAAATTTTAATAGTTTTTTTTTTTATTTTTCTAAAACTATTTTTTTATTGTGTATATCTAGTTTTTTTTTATATATATTAATAATATTTTTTAATAAAATAAAATGTCAAAATATTTTCAAGGTGGTGTAAAGTTAGCACCAACCCTAGATTCAATAGATCATAATTCAAGAAAGTTACATGACAACGACGGTAATATAAAAAATTCAAATAACAATAATATCAATAACAGTACCAATAGCAATAATAGTAATAATATAGAAAATAATAAAATCGAAATAAATAAAGATTTAGAAATAAATAGTTTTGAAAATCAATTAATCAAATTTAGTTCAATTGTTAGTTCAAGTGAAATAAAAATAAATCAAATTAATAATGAGTTGAATGAAAGATTACAAATACAACAAATAATAATTAATAAACTATCAAAAGAATGCGAATCAAAAGATAAAGATCTTATTTATTTAAAAAGCGAAAATCAAAAAAAATCAATTTTTATTGAAACTCTTTTAGAACATAAGGAGGAGCATCAAAAAAAACTAAAGGATGAGCTTAAATATAAAGATCACCAATTAAAAGAACAAATTGCCAAAAATGAAAATTATCTATCAGAAATACAATCATTAAAGCATTTAATAATCTCCAAAGAATTAGAATATAAAAAAGAACTTATTCCACTAAATAATATAAATTCAAATACTATACACCCAATGACAAACAATAATAATAATAATAATAATAATAGAAATAATATTGAAGCTCAGCATTCTTCATCCACCAAATCTTTATTTAACATCCATAATGAGGAGCTATTACAATTTAATGGTTCATTTGGTAAAGAGGCAAGTAATGAGGATTTGGGTTTTTCTTTATCAACATTTAATTTTAAAAATTCTGATATTTATGGGTATGATGATGTAATTACCCTGGACCCATTATCATTTCAAAGTTTAGATTCTAGTATTAAACCAAATAAAGGTAATATCAATGATGAACCAAAGCCCCTAACTAATGTGGTTTACGTAAAGAATATCTCACCATTAAAGCATTTTTTAAATGATAGTGGGAAAATTAACATTCCTCTTCTTTACAATCATTTTATAACATTTGGTGATTGTAAAATATTGGTAGATAAGGATGGTAGCATATTCAAGATTTTACACGAAACCATTAAGGGAGAACTTTGTATGTTCTTTTCTCTTAATTTTATTTTTTCAAACCATCAAGATGCATCAAAAGCAATGAAATCTGCAACTAAAATTATCATCAAAGGTTGTAGCAAACCGAAAAAATTAATTGTTGCACCACATAAAGACTTTGTTTCAGGTTATTATAAATAATCATTTTAAAAAATTCCATTTATAGTTCTCTTTTTTTCACCAAGGTATCACAAATGCCATTATAGTTACAAATTTCTAAAAGTATAATATTCTTTCTTTTTATAAATTAAGCAATAGATTAATAATATTCAAAAATAGATTTATATAATGGTGCAATTCATTATATTTAAAAAAGAAATATTTTATGGCACTTAGTTTGTCCCCTTTAAAATACATTGATTAAAACAATCACCACACTTCAATTTGATAATAATTATAATAATTTAAAAAAAAAGATAAATAAAATATCCTCCCAAATGGGAGTTTTTTAATTTTTTTCTAAATTTATAATTATATGCTCAAAAATTATTTGAAAATTATAAAATTGGAGAAGTTGATTTTTAAATTAAAATTGTGTTTAAAATAAAATTATTTTGATGTATCTAGATCTGATAAATTTTTAGTTTTTATTGCCCAATTGCATTTTCTTAAAATATTTTTATGAGGGTTAAAAAAAATATTTTTTTTTGTTTCTATTTTTACTAAAATAATATTTTTTTATTATAATGGGTGTTGAAACAATAAATAATGAAATAAAAATAAATTAGATACATTAAAAAAAGTATTTCTTATTTGACTACATTCTTATATGGTAATATTTCAAACACCCACCCACTTTTGTATATCTCCCTAGTCGGTAACCCCCATAATTTTATTATTTTATTTTTTTAATTTTTTTTATTTTTAATAATTTTTTTATAGTAAACTACAATGTGTATTATGGCAATAGTAATTACATTGTTTTTTATTAATTTGATATTGTATTAATAGTATTTTTTTATTAAAAATAAATTAATAAATAAATAAAAAAATAAATAAAAAAATGAAACATTAAATCATTAAAAAAATAATTATGTCTTTAAATATGTATTTGTAATTAGATATAAAAAAAAAAGATAATAATATTCAATTTTAAAATAGATAAATAAATTTAAAAAAATTATGATTTTTAATTTTTTTATTTTTTTTTTTTGCACAGGATAGAAATTATTTATAAAATATATATAGTTTTTATAAAAAATGGATGAAGATAGAGATAATGGAAATGTTAAATAGTATGTATTTTTTATAGATCAATAATGGGTTTTTAAATTTATACTAATTTTTTTTTTAAATATAGCGAAAAAAAAGATGAATCTAATATAAAAAACCTATACCCTTTACCCCGATTTTACTTTCCAAGAAGATTCATATTCATCATTTTAAGTTTTATATCATTAATAGTATGCAATGTAACCAGAATAGTATTAAGTGTAACAGTTATCAAGATGAAACAACAATATCATTGGAATGATTCATTCAAAGGGGTTTTATTAGCTGCATTTGCAATGGGTTATTTATGTACCCAATTACCAGCACAGGCATTATGTGATAGATTCGGCGGGAAAAAAGTATTTTTAGTGGGTCTAACTACATCAGTTTGTACATTGTTTTTGGTACCGGTAACAGCCAAGCATAATGCTCTTTTAATATTGGTTAGGGTTGCATGTGGTATATTTCAAGGTGTTGCATATTCAACTATAAACTGGATGGTTGCAAGATGGATTCCTCTGAGTCAAAGATCAACTTCAGCAAGTATAATATGGAGTGGTATATTTATTGGAACTGTTGTTGGCGATTTCAGTACACCAGTTATTTTAGACTATTTCTCATGGGAAATGAGCTTCTATATAATAGGAGGATGCTGTTTATTGTGGTCTTTGCTTTGGTTGGTTTTTATGTCAGATTACCCAAAGGATATTATCATTGGAATTCATCCTAATGAGTTGTTATTCATTAATCATGGAAAAGAAGAATTCACAAAGGATATAGATATGGATGAAATAAAAGGAAATAATCAAAAAATAGAAATTCAAAATGAAAATACTTCAAGTAGAGATTTAGATAACAGTCTAAATAGCTTTACAAATAGCAAAGATGAAAGTATAGACAGTGAGGTGGACTATATTAGTTCCTCATCAAATTCAATCTCCCAATCAAAAGATAGTATGGATCCTCCAACATTAAAGAAAGAAAAGGACTCATACTTTTTTATAATAAGAACATTTTTAACATCTCAAAGTGTAATAACATTGCTTTATTTAAACATTACTTGTAATTGGGGTTACTTTTTATTGTTAAACTGGTATCCAACCTATTTATCAAAACAGCTTGGTTACAGTACTGGTTTTATTTTCGCTTGCTTCAACTCGTTGCCATTTTTCATCGCCTTTTTAAACTCTATTGTATTTGGGTATGTTTCAGATAAATTAGAATCAAGAGGATATAAAAAAAATACAATTCGTAAAGTTTTAGGTTCATTCGTCTATTGGTTGCCAGCTCTATTTTTAATGTTGTTAGCAAGAGTACATGTGGATAATGTTGGTAAAATAGCTTTTATAACTATAGCAATTTGTGCAAATGGCTTTTCTAACGTAGGATATCAAATGATAACATTAGACATCTCAACAGTCAAAAATGCTTCAATTGCAATGGGTATCGGTAATTTAGGATCAGCAATTCCATCCATGTTAGGACCTTTAGTTGGTGGGTATATTTTAGATGCTTTTAATGGGGATTGGAGTTATATTTTTATTATATCAGGTACAACATATATAGTAGGAACAATAGTATGGGTAGCATTAATGAAAACTGATGTGATCATATAAAAAAATTAAAAAAAACTAATAATAATTACAATAAAATTAAATTTTTTAAAAAAAAAAAAATAAAAAAGAAATCTAATTTAAAATTATTTTATACCAAAATATATTTATTTTTATTTTATTTTTATTTTTATTTTTTCTGTTTTGTTTTTTTTTTTAGTTTTTTTTTTTTGTTGAAATGAATTTTAAAAAAATAAAAGAATTTAGTTTTTTATTTATTTTATTTTTTTTATTTTTTTATTTTTATTTTTTTTAATATTTTAAAAGACAATTAACGTCAGATTCATTTCATTATTGGACATTAATTACACCATTAATTTTATTTAAGTAAAAAATCTAAAGATAAAATATTTACAGAAAGTAAAAAAAAAAAAAAAAAATTTTATTTATTTAAATTTAAAATTGTAGACATTCATTAAAAAAAAATAAAAAAAAATAAAAAAAATAAAATTTTCTTATCACAGCCATTTAAATAAAAAATCATATATAAATAAATAAATAATATTATTAGCTTTAAAAAATATAGTTATAATATAAAAAATAATGGATATCGAAATTAATAACGATTTTTTATTTTTTAAATGTTTCAGATCGCTTGTAATTAAAAATCACATTTTTTCTTTTTTAAAAAATCAAAATTCAGATAATAGTTATGAAAGTTCAATATCACTAAAAAAATTAGCCTCAAAAAATCGATTCGAAATGATTTTGGATAAATTAAAATCAAATCATTTTATTTTTATAAATCACGAAGGTTTAAGAGATCTATATTTAGAAACATACAAGTTTTTGCCACAGTATGAAGAAATATATAGACTATTATGGAACTCTTATAAAGAAAGGTTAAGAAGGTTAAATTCATTAGATTACTCAATTAAAGAGAACTCTATTCAACAATTCAAAAGTCTTTCTAAAATTTTATATTTAGAACTTAATAAAAATAATTACAAATCTTCAGAATCTTTTCAAAATAATAGTGGTATTAAATATTATAGTAAAGTTAATAGAAACAATGTCATCGACCAAACATACAGATTATACAGTTTAATGGATTTAGCATTAGAAAATAGCACAATAGAAATTGCAAAATGTATATTAGATTTAATAAATAGCATCACTTTCGAAAATAATCGTAATAAAAAAAAAGCAAGAGTAGAGATTTCAACATTACCAACATCAGCAATAAATAATGAAAGTGAGTTAAAGAAATTAATTCTTTCGGGGGGTGAAATACCCATATACTCAATCTCATTAATAAACAATTTGACAAAAGAGAAGCTAAATTTCATTGAAAATGTACTTTTGTTAGATATAGAAGATCTACTAGTAAAATTCAAATTTTTTGGTTTAAATTCTTTCCATCAAATAGACGAAAAATTACATAGAACATGCTTATCTCTTCTTCTTCATGGATATTTTTTAAACATTAATAGAACCAAATTTTATTTCAATAGTTTAGATTACACCAAAATCCATGTATTATTAAAAATTCAACACTCTTTCACTGATAATCATATTCAATTCCGTCAATTTTTAATAGATAATAGAGAATGTAGTATGGAGGCACTCATTCAAGCTTCAAAAAAATATATTATAAATAGCAATTCCAATACCGTTAATAGAGAGCTTTTTTATTATTTCGGTGTCTATTTAATTTATTATTATCTTCAACAAAATAATTATAATCAAATAGAAATGCTATTAAATTATTCCCAAAACTCCTCTTCCATTTTATGTATCAATTTAATATTCTACTACTCTATATTCAATTTATCAATAGATACATTCAACTTTTATCTCTCTTTCATCAATGGACCTAACAATACCAATAGATTAAACAAAGATATTATTTTCAAATTAAAAAACTATTATGAAGAAATAGACACCTCATCCCACTCAATCGAAATTGCAAAACAATTTTTTAACTTTTTAATTTCCGATGGAAACTGTGGTGCAATAATAATTTATAACTGGTTCGAAATTTTTAAAGTTATTATTGTATACTATGACTCGCAACTATTAGAATATTTATTAATACACAATGAAAAGTTTAGAACAATGTACAGCTACTATATGGTCCACTACTTTAAAGATATGTTAGAAATTCACTTTAAAAGAAATAAAACAACAAAACAATTTAACAATAAAAACATTGAAATATTTATTCAACAAATGAAATCAGTAGAACTTTCAAAAAAGAATGTAGATCAACTATTAAAAAAACTAAAAACAAAAAAGTGTATAATTTTATTAAATCATTTCCTTAAAAACTATCAATATAATCAACAGCAACCTGAAATTATAAATGAAGAAATTTACTCCAACTTCAAAAATATATACTCTTTTCAAAATCAATTTAATGTGGATCAAACCATTCAACTATATTTAAATCTAGATCAAGACTCAGTAAATATCTTTTTTAAATTTAAAGAAAAGAACCCTTTTTATCTCAATAAATCCAATATTTTAATATTAAATTTAATAAAATCAATAATATTCAAAGAATATAGTCAAATAGTTAAAATTATATCAACACTACAAATAAACAGCACTTTAACAACTGAAGATTTAAATAATGTTATTGGCGGTGGGAATAAAGAAATTATAGGGTTTTTATTTTTAAATGGATATTTGGATCCGTTTGATATAGAGTGTTTATTGGAAGAAATATTTAAACAAATCGACATTGATAAACAATTTATATTTGACTTAATACCATCGGAAAAAAACCAATTAAAGAACCAATATAAAGAAAGCTTTTATGATTTAATTACGATCAAATACCATGTAGATGACATTTCAAAAGAAACCGTAAAAGAAGATGAAGATAATGAATCAAAGAGTCTTGTAATGCTGCTTTATGAAGGTTATTATCAAAAGGTATGGGAATATTTCCAAACTAATGGTGCAATAAATAAGAAATTAGATGTTGCAGACTCTATCTATAGAGATTTACCTATTGATTACTTTGTGCGTTTCTACGACCCCCTCATCAAGGTTCATCTCGATGACTCTGACAAAGTATTAGAAGTATGTCTCTATAGATTCGATATTTTAGAATTTCTCTGGATCCATCATCTTGATCACGAGCAAAAGAAAGATCTCATCTTAAAGATATTTAGCGAAATGAACAATATGAACTGCCACCCCATTATTGAATATATCCTAAAAGAAAAGAAGCAATTTATCTACAATGACCTTCAATTGGATAATGACCACATTTATAAACTACATAGAAATGCATTGGTAGATGGTGATATTTCAATTTATCAGTTAATTAGATCAATATTTACATCATTTAATTTCCAAATAGATTTCAGTATTATTAAAGAGGTTCTTCATTTTGATAGTGGTACCGCAAGATATGATGTAATCGAATACCTATACGATAATAATTTAATTCCAAATTTTAAAGATATCATTAAAGGTCAAAAAATATTAATAAGAGAATTTAACAATAGATTTATAGTCCCGGGTGATAACTCTACAATAATAGTTACAAGATCAATGTTTATACTAATCTATACAATTATAAGACTGCAAGAACAAGCCCAACTAAATAAGGAATATTATTATTGCGAATAAAAAAATAAAAATTAATTAAATTAATAATTGAATTAACTGTATTTAGATTTATAAATAATTATATATGTGTGTGTGATCATCATTTTATTTTTATTTTTTTAATTTTATTTTTATTTTTTTTTTAATTTTTATTTTTTTTATTTTTTTTTTTTTTAAATTAAACCATTATTATTTTTTTTAAAATTTTCATTTATTTGTTTAATATTTTATATATATTTTAAAAAATGAGTATGATTAGAAGTATTTCAGGTGTAAGAGGTGTTATTGGACAATCATGGACACCCACATTAGTTTCAAATCATATTATTGGATTCACCCAACTATTAGAATCAGAAAAATATTACAATCAAAAACAAAAAAAAATTGTAGTTGGACGTGACTCTAGAGTTTCAGGTCCTTGGATTGAAATGATTGTTAATGGTTCATTAATTTCAATGGGTTATCAAGTTATTCATATAGATATTGCAGCAACTCCAACAGTAATATTTTAATTATTATTATTGTGACAGTTATGTTTAAAAGATATATTAACATTTTTATATATTTGAAAAATTTAGGTACAATATATGGTAGAAAAAACAAAATCATCTGGTGGTATTGTTATTACAAGTAGTCACAACCCAGTAGAATGGAATGGTTTAAAGTTTGTTGGTCCTGATGGTTTATTTATTGCACCAGTCGAATGTGAAGTTTTATTTAGTTTAGCAGATAATCCATCATCATTCAAATTCCCAAATTATGATAAATTAGGATCAGTAGTTTGTAATACAACTGCCAACAAAGAACATATTGAAGCAATTTTCAAATTACCATTTATTAGTGTAGATAAAATTAAAGAAAAGAAATTTAAAGTTTGTTTAGACTCTGTCAATGGTGCAGGTGGTCCAATTATGTCATATTTATTAACAGAATTAGGATGTGAAGTTATTGGTATCAATTTAGAGCCAACTGGTTTATTTGCACATACACCAGAACCAGTACCTGCAAATTTAGGCCAACTTTGCGAATTAGTAAAAACACATAAAGCCGATTTTGGTATTGCTGTTGACCCAGATGTTGATCGTTGTGTTTTCATTGATGACAAAGGTGTACCATTAGGTGAAGAATATACTTTAGCAATGGCAGTAGAATTATTATTGGGTGATTGCGGCCGTAGAGGAAATGTTTGTAAGAATTTATCATCATCACGTGCCATCGATGACATTTGCAAGAAATACGACTCACAAGTTATTTGTGCACCAGTCGGTGAAATCCAAGTCGCCAAAAAGATGCAACAAGTTAATGCCGTAATTGGTGGAGAGGGTAATGGTGGTGTTATGTTACCAGATATTCATATTGGTCGTGATGCACCAGTTGCCGCTACATTAGCCCTTCAATTATTAGCCAATCGTAATGCTGCCTCCATTAGTGAATTCAAGAGAACCACTTTACCAACCTACGAAATTGTCAAATTAAAAGCTGGTATTGAAGGTTTAGACCCAGATGCTATTTTAGCAGAATACACCAAACAATATGAAAATAAAGAAGGTGTTGTTATCAACCAAGAAGATGGTTTAAAAATTGACTCTGCAGATTGGTGGGTTCATCTCCGTAAATCAAATACCGAACACATTATTCGTGTTATCTCTGAAGCCAAAAATACAAAAGAAGCAACTGACATTGCAACTAAATTTATAAATGAAATAGAATCAAAACGTAAATAAAAGAAAAAAAAAAACCCATATAACTATATTATTTTAAAAAAAAAAAACTATAGTTTTTATTTTATTTTATTTTTCTTTAATATTATTTTATCTATTTAAATATTTTGAAAATTCATCCTCATTATTTTCATCGTGTTCATAAATTACATCGTCATCTTCAAAAGATTGGTAATAAGCTTCTTGAACTTCTTGATATTTGTCAAAATTCCATTGGGTTTCTCTTTCTTGGATTTCCATAATTGATGTATTTGTGTCTAATGAACCATAAATATAACCATTACTTTTATCGATTGAAACAATTAAATTTGCAACGCTCTTTTTATCCATAATATTTAAAGGTATGAAATTGACTAAACTAAAATCTTCTATAACACCTGCAATTGATTTATTCAATTCACTAAATCTCTTTAAACGTGGGTCTTTATCTAAAAACGAATTTAGATAACTTAAATCTAAAACATCTGTATAATAATCTAATTGGAAATCCAAAGGTCCATTTTGTTCGATTAAGTCCATCTTTGATAAAACATTAACATGGGGCAATTCTATTCTAACCATTGATGATAGTGATACTAATAAAATTGATATAAAATGACTTGGGTTTTTACAATAAAATGAATCAAAAATTTGAATAACTGTTAGCTAGTATAATAAAAAATTTTGGTTATTATATTAGTTTTTTTTTTTTTTTTTTGTTTTTTTTCTTTAACTCTTATATTTACTCTAAATGACCATTTTGATATATTTTCTAATAAATTTGAAATAACTTTATAATGAGTATATAGTTCAACTTGACCAGGACAGTCAAATAAAATATAATGATCCTTTAGGGGTAATAATTTTTCTTTTAACCAATCTATATTCTTTTCTAAATATTCCATACAAAATATTAAACCTCCATTAGGTCCCAAATCAGTCTTTTCTACAACTTCCTGAAAATCTATTAAATCTTGTATGTTTACTGCGCATTCATATGGTATATTCTCGTTGGATGGATCTAAATTTACAATTGATACCTTTCTTCCGATGGATGCTAAATATTGTGACATACCATTACAATAAACTGTTTTACCTGATCCTGGTGGCCCTATAATAACTTGTCCAAAACCCATTTTATATAAATTATATACACAACAAAACGAATAATATTACTCTTTTTGAATTTTATGAGAAAATGAATTTAAAAAAAATTAAAAAAATTAAAAAAAAATTTAATAAAATTAAAAAAAAAAAAAAAATTTTAAAAAAAAAAAAAAAATAAATTATAAAAAATTATAAAATATAAAGTTTTTTAGAAATTCTTAACCTTTAGAGAATAAGAGTAATCATAATTATAAATATTTGTATTTAAATTACCTATAAATAAACTATCAAACAAACAAACCATTTTTTTTTATAATAAAATCCAAAACCCATTAATTTTCAAAAAAATAAAATTTTATTTTTTTTTTATTTTTTTTTTTTTTTCAATTATTTTTAAATCCAAAAAATTTATTTTTAAATTATAAATAATAAACTATACATATATATAAATAAATAAATAATGAGTACTTGTCCATATTGTAATAAAAAAGTATTTTTTATTTAAATTATTCAATTTAAATTATCAATAAAAACTAATAATTCTTATTTTAAATACAAATAGGTATATTTTGCAGAACGTCAATTTTATAAAAATCAGGTAAATTAAAAAGAAATCGAAATTATGAAATAAATCAAAAATAGAAAATTTTAGCTAATAATTAATAATCTCAATTTTTAAAATAAAAAAAAAATAAATAAATATCATTATAGGATTATCATCAAATTTGCCATGGTTTGTTGATTAGAGAAGAGCAAGCTAAAGCACCAAAAGTTTTTGCAATTCATGAAATTATTCATTGCAACCCTGATGAAAATTTAAAACAAAAATATCCATTAGCTCCAATTGATGGTTATGTACCATCCCAACCCTCCACTAGTGCCTCACCACCTCCAAAAACAGTTAAAGAAAGACTTAATACAGTTTCATCAGTTGATAAAGTTGTTTCAACTCCATCTGGTTTCAATTCATCAGGCTCAAAAGTAACTACTCAATCATCTTCACCATCATCCTCACCAAAAGTTTCAACCAATGGTCCAAAGAAATGTGGGGGTTGTCCAAATATTTTACAACCAAATAATCGTTTCTGTACCCAATGTGGCTTAAAGTGTTAAATAAAAAATAATAAAATAAAAAAATAAAAATAAAATTTAAAAAATCCAATTCGATTTATTTAAAAATGTATAAATAAAATTCAAAAAAAATGATCATTTTTTAATATTAATTATTTTTGATAACAACAGCAATTGTCCAAATGCAAAAAAAAAAAAAGAAGAAATTCCAATAAAAAATAAAATTAAAATAAATTAAAAAAATTTATTTTTATTTATTTTTTTCATTTTTTCATTTTTTTTTTTTTATTTATTTATTTTTTTATACTATCAACAGTCTTTTAAAACTTAATTGTTAAAAAAGCAAATAAATCTGTATATAATAAAAATTCGATATGATATCGTCAAATAAAAATAACAATAATGATATAATAGTGGAAGATTTTGATATTGATATTGATTTTGATTTCGAATTAGAAAATGATATAAATAATAATATAAATAATAATATAAATAATAACAATAATAATAATAATAATAATAATAATAATAATAATAACAATAATAATAATAATAATCAACTAAACACTGTAAATAAATCTATTTTAAAACCTTCACTACCCTCAAAACCTTTTAATAAAACGTTTACAACTCAAGTAAACAATCCAAATAACTCCATTAATAATGGTAATATCCACAATAAAGCAGTAGTTTCACAACCAAATCCTATAGAAATATCAAAATCTGCTCCTAATACACCTCAAAAACCATCTACTTTTTCATTAAAACCACAATTGCCACAAAAACCGGCATCCTTAACGCCAACCAAACCATCCACATTACTTAAACCACAGCTACCACAAAAACCAGCATCCTTAACTCCAACCAAACCGATACCAAATGCATTTAGTAAATTAAATAATAATTTAATAAATAATTTAACTAAACCCAATATAAATACAATTTTACATAATAATACCGATAATAATAACAATAATAATAATAATAATAATACCAATAATAATATAGGACAGCAAAATTTATCAGAATCTTATATAAATAATGTTTTAATACCTGGAATATCACAACAACCTAGGCTAAATATTAGAAAGGATATTATATTCCAGTTAGTGTCAGAAGAACTATTTACATCAGTAGAACAATATAATAATGTTATCGATGCAATTTTTGAAAGTGTACCAGGTGCACATTATAAAGAATATCAAGGTTGCAAGTGGTGGCTATTTAAAATACAGGAGCATGATAGGCTATGTGCAAAACTATATTCATTAAACCAATCAGAGTTAAAGGTGCACAGATTGCCACCACATATCATAAAAACATTTTTAAAGCCTGAAAATGCAAGTGATCCAAAACCATTAGATATAGATTTTTCACAGATGCCAAGTTCACTTTTACCATTTCAAAAGAAGGGCATCGAATTTGGTATAGAAAAAGGTGGAAGATGTTTAATTGCAGATGATATGGGTCTAGGTAAAACAATTCAAGGTATATCAATTGCATATCACTATAGGAACGAATGGCCATTATTAATTGTTACTCCATCATCACTTCGTCTAGTTTGGGCTGATTCGATCGAAAAATTTTTTCCTCAAATTCCCTCCTCCGATATTAATTTGGTGATGAATGGTAAATGTGGTCTCAATGGGCTAATCAATATTATCAGTTATGACTTGGTAACTACTAAATTGGATGTGATTCTTAAAAAGGGTTTCAAGGTTGTTGTCCTCGATGAATGTCATTATATAAAACAAAATGTATTTAGATCTCAACGTTCAAAGAGTTCATGCGATATTCTATCTAGAGCAAAACGTACCATTCTGTTATCTGGTACACCTGCACTTTCAAGACCCATAGAACTTTATAATCAAATTAATTGTATCAAACCAAATTTTATGAGTTGGATGGATTACGCTTATAGATATTGTGCAGCTTATAAAGATCGTTATTCAATCAATACTAGTGGTTTCTCAAATACCAAAGAGTTAAATCTATTCCTCAATACATTTATGATAAGAAGACTAAAAGATGAAGTACTAACAGAGCTACCAGCGAAAAGAAGAGAAAGAATTACCGTCAAACTAGATAAAAAGAGATTAAAGGATATCAAGCAAACAGTAGAGAAAATTCGTCAACATTCTAAAGTGATGGGTGATGGCGGTGTGGATAATCGTACTGCAATGAGCGCAAGAGGTTCGAAAAGTAGTATGTTTTTAAAGTTGCTACGTGATACAGGTCTTTATAAACTATCGGCTATCAACCAATTTTTAAAAGATAAACTTACCGATGCCCCACCAGACCAAAAGTTTTTAATTTTCGCTCATCATAAAGGTGTGATAGAAGGTATTTGTAATATGCTCAGAAAGATAAAAATAGACAAAGAGAAATTGGATTTTATTACAATTGTAGGTTCCACTCAAGCTCAAAATCGTAATGAACTTGTAAATCATTTTCAAAGTAACCCCAAATGTCGTATTGCAGTTCTTAGTATTACCGCTGCTGGTACCGGTCTAACTTTAACTGCTGCTACCTGTGTTATTTTTGCTGAATTGCTATGGACCCCTGGTGTATTATTCCAAGCAGAAGATAGAGCACATCGTTATGGTCAAACCTCATCAGTTTTGGTTCAATATCTTATCGGTATGGGCACTGTTGATGAATCAATTTGGAACTTAGTAGAGAGTAAAAAGAATCTTTTAGGTAAAGTTTTAGATGATGAAGATAACCAATCACTCAATGCTGATATTTCTAGTATCGAGCTGAATGCTAATATTTCAGATACATTTATCAATTCCCTTTTAGAAAAAGTGGAACAATCAGACAAAGAAAGAAAAAGAAAATTAGATGAAAAAAAATTAAGAAAAGAACAAAGAATGAAATTAAAAGAACAAAATAATCAAATGGATGACGAAGATGACTATGATTATAATTATGAAGATGATGAAGAAGACGATGGCGAAGAAGAAAACAACGAAAATAACAGCGATGAAGATGATCAAGATAATAGTGAAGACGAAGAAATTGATTATTTTGATGAAGATTCAAGTAAATCCAAAAAAAAACCGGCTGCAAGCAAAAAGAAATCATCAACTACAACATCAACCTCAACACCTGTAAAAAAAACTCCAAAAAAAACAACCACCAAATCTTCAAAGAGTGCACCATCCACACCATCAAAATTGACAAAATCAAACAAATTTAATGATGATGATGCTATTGATCTTTTCGATGATGATTTAATGTTAGATACCACACCATCCAAAAAATCAAATTCAAAACAAACAAACAGTAGTAAATCAAAGAAAACCAAACTCCCACAAGTTACCTCTGTGATTGATGTCGATATTGATGAAGAATACGAAGATTTATGTAGAGTGGATATTTCACAATTCTCCTCTAGCAAGCACGAAGATTTAGATGATTTTATTTTTAAACCAAAAAATTAAAAATAATACACAAACTTTTTCTGTAAATAATTGTTATTAAAAAAAATAATTAATTTTACAATTAATTTTATCAAAAACAAAATCTTAATTTTATTTTTGTAAATCTTTAAAAATAAATTATTTTTTCTTTTATTTTGTTTCGTTAAAAACTGTGTTGTTTCTGGGGGAAAATTAAAATCACTCCAGAATTTGAAATTTAAAAACAAATTGTGATGTCTTTTCAACAATAATTTTATTTTTTGATGTTAACATATTTTTGTTGTTTATAATAAAATTTCGAGTTTTTTTTAAAAATATCTTTTTGAAAAAAAAATGTGCATATAAGAAAATCATATAAATTTCAAACAAATTTTTATGTCATTGTTGCTATTGTTTTTTTATTTTTTATTTTTTTTGATTTGGTTTAAAATTATTTTTTATTATTTTTTTTTTTTGATTTTTTTTTTTTAAAATTTTTTTTTTTTTCATTTACATTTTTAATTTACATCTTTTCATTTCTCTATTTTTTGTTTTGTAGTGCATCAAGTTTGTTTGTATTATAAACTTTAAAAAGAAAAAAAAATGATGCTTGGTTCAAGAGTAAATTTAAAACATATTAAACCAAATAGATTATTTAATAAAAATATTTTAAATAATGCAAGCATAACTACATCAAAATTAACAATACCAATCTCATCATCTATTAAAGCCAAATCAAATAATGTTAATAGTAATTTATATTCAAAATCAATTTTTAATCAAATTTTAAATAATAACAATAGCTATAAAAGATTTTATTCAACTAACGAACAAAAACAACAAGAACAACAAGAACAAAAATCTCAACAACAACAACAACAAAAAGAAGAAAAAGTTAATGAAGATGAAGAAATTGAACAATCAGAACCAAATAAAAAAGTTGGTAGATGGTTATTATTCTCATGTGGTTTAGTTGGTGCAATGATTGTAATTGGTGGTATTACACGTTTAACAGAATCTGGTTTATCAATGGTCGAATGGAAACCAGTTGTTGGCACAATTCCACCATTAACACAAGAAGAATGGGAGGCAGAATTTGAAAAATATAAACAATTCCCAGAATATAAAAAATTAAATATGGGTATGACATTAGACGAATTTAAACAAATCTTCTTTTGGGAATATTCACATCGTTTATTAGGTAGAGTCATTGGTGTTGCATTCTTTTTCCCATTTGTTTATTACTTAAAGAAAGGTTATATCGATCGTTCATTAGCTAAAAAATTATCAGTTGTATTTTTAATGGGTGGTGCCCAAGGTGCACTTGGTTGGTATATGGTTAAAAGTGGTTTAGACGAAAAATTAATTCAAGGTGAGGTACCAAGAGTCAGTCAGTATAGATTAGCTGCTCATTTAGGCAGTGCATTTGTCATTTATACCGCTTTGTTTTGGTTTGGTTTAGGTTTAGTTAGACCAGGTCAATTATCTGTTTCCATGATCAAACAAATTAAAGCCGCTATCGCTTCCAATCCAAATCTTCAAAACTTTGCTCCAAAAATGAAGAAATATTCTCACGCTGTAGCTGGTCTCATTGGTGTCACTGCCATGTCTGGTGCTTTTGTTGCTGGTCTCGATGCTGGTTTAGTTTATAACACTTTTCCAAAGATGGGTGATGATTGGATTCCAGATGATATTATCAATCCAAAAATTAAACCAGCCTATAAAAACTGTTTTGAACACGATGTAACTGTCCAATTCCAACATAGAGTTCTTGCTTGTATTACCTATGGTTCAATTCTTGCCCTTACCGCTTTCGCCTATCGTGGTCGTAAAGCATTATCACCAAAAGCTCGTTTAGCTGTTAATAGTTTAGCTGTTATGGGTACTGCTCAAGTAATTTTAGGTATTTCAACTCTTTTAACATTTGTACCTGTTTCACTTGCCGCCTCACATCAAGCAGGTTCATTAACTCTTTTAACAATTGCTACTTGGTTATTACGTGAATTAAAGAAATTACCAAAATAAAATAATAAATAATAAATAACAAATAAAAAGCCCCAAATAAATGGTTTATTTTATTTAAAAAAAACAATTGATCAATTTGAAAATTATTATTTTTTGATTTAAAAAAAAAAGAATATTTTAATTTATTGTTTTGATTTTTTAATTGCTTTCATTTTATCTAATAAAACTCTTTGATCTCTAAAAATATTTGAAGTAACTTTTTTACATAATGATCCAAATTCGAAATTTTCTTCTTTGCTATTTAATTTAGTTTTTGATTGTTTAATAATTTCTTCGATACCTTCTTTATATGAAACTAAAATTCAAAGTTGGATTAATATTAAATAAAAAAATATTATATATACAATATAAAAAAATATATGATACACTTACCATATTCACTATGTTTTTCAAATAATGGAATAAACTTTTCCAACTCTAAAATAATTTGATCTCTTTTAACAGTTTGCTCTTGAATTTGTTTTTCAGCAGTTTCTTTATTAGTGTTTGGTTCATTTGATTCGAGGTAGAAATTAAGAGTATAAATTGATTGAACTGGTTGGCAAATTGAGGTCTAATTATAGAATTGGAAGCTATTAATATTTAAAAAAAAGGTTCACAAAATAAAAGATAATTGATACATACAACAACTTTTTTAACATTTCCTAATTCTTCTCTGAGTTTTTCTACTTCTCTATATTCTTCACCATAATCTTCTTTAACTGGTTCTTCAGTTTGAATTGGACGACTCATCCAATCGGCATGAGTTTCCATACCTGCTGGGATAACTTTACCACCTAATGGTACAAGAGTTTGTTCACCTTCCATCTTTAAAGAATTTCGAATTATATATAATAAATGTAAATTTTGGGAAACAGAATTTGGAATGAAAAAACTAAAAAAAAAAAAAAAAAAAAAAAGATTTTTTAATTTTATTTTTTTTTTATTTTTTTTTTTTTATTTAAATTTCACATATTTTTCATTTATAAAACTATGAATTTTATCTTTTTTTTTTTATTTTATTTTTTTATTATAATTTATCAATAATTACAATTATTGGTTTTTATTATTATTATTAATAATATTATAAAAAATGAAAAAAAAAAAAAGATATTGAATAAATAAATACAAAAGAAAAAAAAAAAATTATGTTTTTGAAAAAATTAAAATTAATTTTTTTTTTTTTTTTTTTTTTTTTTTTTTTTTTTTTATATTTTTAAAAAGAAAACCTATTTTTTTATTTTTATTATTAATTTAAATTTTATTAATCGAAAAAAAATGGTAAATTTTACTTTGTTATAATTTAAAATTAAAGATTTATATTAACACTTTTATTATTTATAGCAAGAGTTACGTGCCCAATTAGATGAATTTTTAGGAAAAGATAGAAATTTACTTGTAAGTATTAAAATATTCTTTCTATAAAACAACATGTTAATATATACTTAATTTCTTTTTTATTTATACAACAACAACAGCCAAAAGATAGAGTTAAAGTTGAAAACGACTTTACCGACCCCGATATATGTAAGTTTTATTTATGTGGCTTATGTCCACATGAATTATTTACAAATGCAAATATTCGTGATTTAGGTCCATGCTCTAAACTTCATGACGAAAATTGTGTTAAACAATACCAAAATTCTAAAGAAAAGTATGATTATGAATTTGAATGGGTTCGTTTAATCGAAGGTTTAATTTCAGATAACGATAAAAAGTAAGTAAAAACAATAGTTTCAAAACTAATTATTTCTTTTTATACTAAACATTTAATTAACAACATCTCTATCAATAGAATTAAAAGAAATAAAGAAAGATTACTTCAAAATCCAAATGGTGATGCTAATCACCATGGGGGTGCACCAACCCAACTAAGTATTAGCCAACTTGATGATGAAGAGGGTGGATTAGAAAAAGAAGTACCAAATAGTAAAATTGCTGAATTGGATTTAAAGATTCAAGAGCTTTTAAAGAAATCCGAAGAATTAGGTGAAGAAGGTCAAATTACAGAAGCTCAAGCTTTAATGACCCAAGCTGATGAATTAAAAAATCAAAAAACTGAATTAGAAAAGGTAATTATTTATAAATTTTTTCTTTTTGCCTTTTTTCTTTTTTCTAACTTGTTTTTTTTTTTTTTTAATTTTATAGATAGAGCAAGAAAAGAATGAAAATAAAAGAATGTCAGTTTGTGAAATATGTGGAGCTTTATTATTTGTTGGAGATAAAGAAAAAAGATCAATTAGTCATCTTGAAGGTAAAAAACATATAGGTTTTCAAAAAATTCGTGAAGTAATGGACGAGTATTACAAATCTGGCAGAAGAGCAAGCGTAGGTAGACCCGATAGTTTTAGAGACAGGGACGATAGAAGATATAATGATTATGATCGTAGAGGTGGTGATAGATATAATAACAGGGATTCAATTTCAACAGCACCAGCACCACAATACGGCCACAATGATAGAAGAGGTGGTAGCGGTAGAGGTAGGGATTACAGTTATATTAGTGGTGGTAATGGTGGTAATAATGGCAGAGATTATAGAGATAATAGAGATCACAGATATGACGAACACAGAAAGAGAGATAGAGATTATTATGAAGATGATAGAAGAAAAAGACAAAATAGAGACTATTAAACTTAATCTTCTTTATTTCAACCAAATCAAATGTAAACTCAAATATTCAAAGCCTTAAAAAAATATCACAAAAAAAAAAATTTAAAATAAAAACTAAATGGTAAACCTAAGGTAAAACTTTTTTTTATTATTAAATATTTTTAACTCTTTTTTTAATTAGTATAACTCTTTTATTCAATAATATTCAAGAAAATTTAATTTAAAATAAAGGTAACAAATAATTTTCTTTGACAAAGTTTTTTTTATTATTTAAAATACTAATGCAAAAAAAAAGAAAAAAATAAAAAAAGAAAATACAAATAAAAATTATCCATTTAAAAAAGAAACTATTAAAATAAATATTTATTTTACAATTTTATTTAAAAACCTTTTAAGGATTTAAAATTTTTTTTTTTTTTTATTTATTTATTATTATTTGTTTTTATTATTTTATTTTTATTATTATTATATTTATCTATTTATTCGTTTTGTTCAAGTTCGAATGGATCATGTTCATCGTCAGATAATAGTTCTCCAATATTATCTAATAATTCTTCTACTTCAGCTTCTTTTCTAAGTTGTTTGATATTATTATAATTTTTCCAAGCTTTTTGAATTGTTCTGGCAGCTTTATCTTTTTCAGGATTAAATGTTGATTGTTCAGGAGATTCGGTTGGAATTGGGACAGTCGATGTAGCTGGGGTAGAGTTATTACTTAATGATGAACCAGTGGAAGAGACAGGAGATATTGGTTGATTCTTAAGTATCTTTTGTTGTTCTCTCTTTTTAGCCTCACCATAAATATCTTTGAATTCTTGAAGAATATATTGAACGTCATTTTCATCACCAAATTCTTTATCTTTATTTGTCTTTGGAATCTCCATACTATCTTTTTCGTGAGGTTCATCTTTTGAGGAAGATGCATCATCTTTTTTATCCTCCTTTGCTTTCTTTTTGTCTTCTTTTGCTTTTTTTTCTTGTTCTTTCTTTTCTCTTTGTTGTTGCTTCTTATCTTCTTTTTCTTTTGCCAATTCTTCTTTTGTTTTTTTACCTTTCTTTTTGTTATCTTTTGTTTTCTTCTTTTTAATAAATACAACAGTTCCAACCAATAGAGCAGCAAATACAACACCACCAATAACTGGACCAATAATAATCCATATATTAGTTGAGGATTTAGCAAATTCTAAAATACCAAACTCGGTAAGATGGCTACATTTACAATGAATTGATCCTGATTTCTTTTCAGTGCTACAGCCTTCGGTTGACCATTGTAATTTATTTTCATTCCACCATGCACATTTATGTTCTTTGTTATTATTATCAATTGCACCCATGTTGATAGAAATTGGATTCTTAAGATTATTAATTGAAAGTGGGGAGTTATCGTCTTTGTAGAGGCTTAAAGAAACTGTTCTTGGCTTTAGTGTTGAACCTTTTGGAGTTTTATGAGAGATATGAGTATTGGATGGGATTGAAACATATTTAGCTGAAACACCAGCATCTCCTTTAAGTGATTGAATATGTTTGCTTAAAATACCAGATGGGAGTGCAAATTTTGGATCACCTTTTTCACCACCAATTTCTTTTCCATTTGAGTTAAAGTCATGAGGTAAAGCTTTGAATGCTGTAATTGTAAGTCCATTACCAGATACTGATATTGGTTCTTCGCCATCAATAGTACGATAAAGGAGACCATCAGCGAGTAAATATGATACTGTCAAAATCTTTGATGAAACATTAATTGCTGTTTCTACATAGTCTGGATTGATTCCTGTAACTTGATCTTTTATTTGTAAATCTACATTACCTAAGAAACTAGCGGATAAAGCGAAATCACTTTGTAAAATTGGGGCTTTTATCATTAAAGGACCAACTTTCTCCATAACTTTCATTGAGTCTTGAAGAGATTTTGGATGAACCACTGTAGAAAGATCAGTGGATGTACAAATAAGATCTACAATTGAAGAGATACCATAGGCAGAAAGAGTCTCTTGTTGATTGATTTTACCCAAAACCATAGTGACACCAGAAGATTTTAATTGGGTGGCTCTATTTACAACTTCTGCTTCAGTTGCTAATTTAGAGTTTGATTTTGGTTTGGAAGATAAATAGGAATTAGCAATTTTTACACCTACACTAAGTTGATAGATATCAATTGATGAATTTGTCATAATACCAGTTAAGAAATTAATAACTCTTTCTGGGTCATTGATTTTTTCAACTTTAATTTTACATTCTTTTGTGGATGGTATATCGTTGCCTGAATAAACATAACCAATAATTGTGATATCTCCGGGTGGTAAATAGGTAATAATTGAATTGTCTTCAGATTTATCACCTAATGAAACTTCTGGAGTATTTCCAATACGATATCTGAATACATATCCCTTAATTCCAGTATTTGAAGTCCAATCCTTTGACATTTCGATAGAGTATTGGTCAATAACGGTACCGCTAGTTTGATGACAAATAATATCTCCACCGGTTGGTGCTGCTTCGGTTTTAAATGTTACTGATGCAGAACCTTTTTCGCCACTAACCTTATCTGTTACTGTAATAGTAAAGGTATATAGGCATGAAGGACCAAGAGAGCCAGCTTTTAAAACTAAATTTCTTCCATTCAATGGAGTACTTGCAGCTGCCGATAAAGGATTTATTTCTAGTGTACCTTGATCTTTACTCCATTGATATTGAAGATTTGAGGGATTTCCAGTATAACCAGTGATAATGGATCTTAAAATTAACTTCTCGGTTGGATTAATATAGGTTGGGAGTAATGATTTATCAATTGAGATATCGAGGAATGGTTTGTTTGTTACCTCAATTGATGTTGTTGCGGACCCTGATCTTGAGGGGTCGTCAATTGGTGCAACTTCAACAGAAAAATAATATAAACCAACTCCAAGTGAAGAGGTACTAATTTCAATAATTGGATCTGATGGTAAAGGATTGATACCACAATCTTTATTAGTACGTTGAACAACACATGACCATGTATAGGTGAAAGAGTCAGTTGATGTAACATTATTAGTTGGATCTATTGATGAAGAAGCATCCAAAGTAATTTGTTTGTTCAATGAGAATTTTTTATCACCTCCTTTAATATTGGCAATTACGGGTATACCCCCTACAATAATTGTAACAGTAGCATAATTTGAAACAGTACCGGATGTTGCTGTAAGTGTAACAGTATAATTTGTATTATAAACCCATGAAGAAGAGGGAACATTGAGTACCTTATTATTTAGAGCACTTTCTTTTATTACGATTTCGGGTGAGATTTCCCATTTATAGGTTATTGTTTGGGAAGCTGTATCATTTTTTGTTGAGCATCCGCTGAGTGAAGCATTACCGATAAGACTAAGGTCACTTGTGCCAGTTTTAATGACGGGTGGGCCTTCAATATTAACGTACAATACCGGACCATTTTGTTTAGTTACTGTAACACTGGAACTATCAGAATAACCCAACCAATTTTTAGCCTCTAATGTAAAGACATATTCGCCTTCACTTAAAAGATTGTTTGGAATTGTAATTTTGTTGACACTTTTAGCTAAAAGTTGGTTTAACTCTTGATTATTATCTGCACCACCACCACTAACACTCCATACATAAGTTAATGGTTTACCATTATCACCAGTTGTATGAGTTGCATCTAAAACAAGTGGGTCACATGCATCGATAATACGAGGTGCTTTGAGAATTACTTTTGGTGAGACTTCTTCAGCTGGTTGAACTGTAACTGTTTGGAATTCATTGGTATCACCATCGACCGAGGTAATTCCACCACCCAAAAACTCTAATTGAGAATTCATTTCAACACTTGGACTACCACCATAGGTTACCATTAAAATAGATGGGCCTGTCCATTCACATTTAACCGAACTACCACCACCTAATAACTGAAGTGAATTTCCAGAAAATATTTTATAACACGAACTTTCAGCTTGATTTGATGGCTTGGTTAGAATACAACTAAGATATTCAGCAGTGGCACCAAGATTACATGACTTTACAGCTATTTTAGATTCATAATCGAATGCTTCCATAAGAGTTGCAACTGAACCATCATGGCCCTTAACAGAGAGATCTGCTGTTCCATTAGATGATGATTCTGGTGTAGTACAAGTTAAAATTGAATCTGTTTTTACTTTTGGATTAAGACACGAAGCACCACCCAATAAAACACTAGTTACACCACAGTTGAACCCATTACCATTAATTGTAATTAATGTACCACCTGATGGAGAGCCAAATCTTGGTTGAACAGATGATAAGGTAATGTTGCATTGTGAATTGAGGGCAAGTTTACTAGAGTGACGAACAGCGTTTGAAGCTAAAACCTTTAATACTGGAACATGACCATTTGATAAAACTTGAGAGAATGGACGAATATAACGCATTTGATTTGATTTTGAGTCTGTATTGAAAATCATTTGGTTTTCTGGATCATGCATTCTATAATAAAGCAATGGCTCAGTTGAAACAGAGAGCTTGTAACCTTCAATGACCAACTTTGCTAAAATTTCATGATCTTCTAAACCAACGCCATATTCTTCTGTGAAGCCACCAATAGATTCGAATGACTTTTTTTCAATGAAAAAGTTTGCATCACCAAAACAATTCTTAAAGAGACCAACAGAAAGGGATGGACCTAATGGAACCCATTGTCTTTCGATAACGACTTGTTCAGAAATTGGCGATAAAGATGAATTGAAAATTGAATGAGCAGCGGTTACAACATTAGATTTAGTATTGGTGGCGATTTTGACATAGGTTGAAATTGTATTAGAGTACAAATAGTTATCATCATCAAGGAATAAAAGATACTTTCCATTTGCTTCTTTTGATGCAGCATTACGAGCGGCACCTAAATATCTATTTTCAGTTTGAATAATTTTCCAACCATTATATTTGAATTTGTTTTCTAACGATTTGATGTAGTCGAGAGCATCTTGATTAGAGCTACCATCATCAACCAATATAACCTCATAGTTTAAGTAGTCCTGATTTTCGATTGATTCCAATGCTTGTTTTAAGTAAAATGGTCTATTAAAATGAACAATGCATATAGAGACCAATGGTTCACCTTCGGATATTGCAATACCACTACCTGATGTCATATTTCCTTTGAAATCATTAAATAAAATACCAGTTTCTTTTTGTTTCTCTTCTTGTTGGTTAATTATGAACTTGTAAAAATTTAACCAAGTTTGTTCAGATTTATCTTTGGTGAACAAGGGTTTGACAATCTTGTGAGATGAATCTGGACTATTTAAAATTGAGAAAATTTTATTCATTAAAGAGAAAGAGCTTCTTGAACTAAAAAGAACTTCCTGTTGGTCATCTTTGTTGATTAATGGAATCATTGAGGACTGTGAACTTGCAATAAATGGAATACCCATATAAAGACATTCGTATAAAGTATATGGAGCATTATCTTCTAATGATGGGATAACAGCAACTTTATCAAGTCCAGCTGAGAGATATTCGATGGCTTCTGATGAGGACATTTCAGTTAAAAACGAAACTTTAAATGGCCATGATAAAGAACGATCTTTAAGATACTCTATTGAGTCGATAGAATTGATGGTTGATGAACGACCTAAAAATGAAACTTTGATTTTTGGTTTATCGTCAAATAAATTTGAATGTTGATCTACTAATTGATCTAAAGCATCACAAAACAATGCCAAACCCTTTCTTTTTTCTAAACGGCCAAAAAATACAAACTCTTTAATTGAGCTTGATTTTGAATCTTTTTGAGTTGTTAAAGATGTTTGTTTTGGTGGGAGGAAAGGTAAAAGATAAAGATTTGATTGTGGGATTGTCCATCCAGCTTCGGTAATTAACCAGTTGACAATATAATTACTTGGAGTCCAGATGATATCGGCCATTTCAACAGACTTTCTTTCCATGAAATCAAGTTCGAGTTGGTCATTTTGAAGCGAAATCTTTTGGTTTTGATTTGATTTTGATACCCAAACAGATGGACCATGAAGACCTACTACAATGGATGTTGAATTGAAATATAAACCATTTTTCTTTGCTAAACAACAATAATAAGCCATACCCTCAAAATCTGGGAAATGTAATATATCAAATGATTGGCTCTTTAAATATTGATAAACCTGATACGATTTTCTAACAAATAATGGATTGTCTACTCGAACAGTTGGATTTGGTAAGTGAACTAAATTAATACCTCTTCTCTTTAAATCAACTTTCCACTCATAGAAACTCTTTCTTTCTGGTGTTTCGTCTCTTGTATAAATAACTGTTACATCATAACCCTTTTCTTTTAAAAACTCTGAAAGAATTGAATAGACTGTACCAATACCTGATGTTGAATGCATACCTTCAAAGCTTGAAACAACAATACCAACTTTAACTTTATTATCGCTGACATTATTATCATTAATTGTATAGAGTGTATTGTTACTATTTATATTATTACTGTTGTACCATTCCAAACTGTTGAAATTTGTAAAATTTGTAAACTGTAAATTATTTAATTGATTTAAAATATTTGTTAAGTCACTTTCGTAATCAATGTTATTTATACTTATATCGCTATTTTAAAATTATTTCGATTAGTATTTATATAATTATACTTTTTTATAATCTCTTTATTATTTTACCTTATAATTGATTCATATTCTTTTTTAAGAATAGATATATCATAGTTTTTATAAATATTTGAGTTTCTGTTTGTATTTCCCCCCAAATCTTTAAAAACAAATGAAAAAATAAAAATTATTAAATTTTATAAAAAAAAATTGAAATTAGTAAAAATAACAAAAAAATTGTTAAAAAAAATAAAATAATTACCTATTTGAAAAGTGAATTTGGGAGAAAAAAATAAAAATAAAATAAAAAAAATAAAAAGTTTTAACATTTTATTTTTTATTATTTTTTTATTATCTTTTGATTCTTTTTTTTCTTTTTGTTATAATTTATTAAAATTAAATCTAAATATTTGAAAAAAAAAAAATTATATTTTAAAATATATTTTAATTTTGAGTAATGTTACTAGTGTATTTTTATAAACAAAACATTATTTCTACACATATAAAATATATATAAAAATATCTAATTGTAATGTTATTTTATTATTATTATTTTTTTCGAAAAATAAAACAATTAAAAAAATATCAACACAACATTAACACAAAATAAAAAAATATAAAATAAAAAAAAAAAAAAAATATTAACTAAGGGAAACAAAGACTATTTAATAATAATTTCACACACACATTGAACCACATACCACACAATTTATTCTTACAATGATATCTTTTTTTTTTTCCCTAACTCTTTTATTTAAATAATAATTAAGAATGAAAAATTAAATAAATAACCATACAAAATAACTGTATATTTTATTTTATTGAGAACTATGTGTGTTGACTATCTTTTATTTATTTTATTTTATTTGTGTGTGGGGTATTGAAAATTGTATAATTTTTTAATATATATTGAAAATTATTTGTTTTTACTTTTTTATTGAAATGTTAAACCCAAAAAAAAATAAATTAAATAAATATTTTAATGGGTGTGAATTATTTTTTTTTTTATATTACTTTTAATATGGGCATGTGAATTTTATTTTAAATATTATCTTACATATAATTAATTTGAATAAATATAATTAAATATTTATAATAGTAAAATAGCAAAAAAAAAAAATTATTTATATAAAATGTAAATAAAATAATAAAAAAAAAATATTTATTTATTTAAAAATAAAAATTATATAATTGGAAATCGATTTTACATTTATAAAATTTTTATAATTTGATTAATATTTTAACTATATTTATCTTTGATTTTTTATTTGAAACAATCCAAAAAAAGAGAGAAAAAAAAAAGAAAAATTAATAGATTGTTTTATAAAACAAAAATAGATGTATATCTATTTAATAAAAAATTATACTATATTTAGATTTTATTTTAATATTTAATTTATTTGGCTTTGTTTTGTGCTTCTTTAACTAAAGTCTTTTCAAATTCGTTCTTTGGTTCGATGGAAGCGGCGATTTTGTAAAATTCTTTAGCTTTTGGAGTATTTTTAAGTTGGGTGTAGGAATCACCAATGAAAATAGCATTACGAATAAGATTTGGATCGGCTTCATATGCAGCTAAAAAGTATTTAAGAGCTTCGTCATAAGTTGAAGTTGGTGGGGTACCGAATAAAGCAGAGGCGATACCTCTTTCAATGAAACCAATTGAAGCAATGGAGAAGCACCATCTACCTAATAAATGAAGAGTGGTTGGATCTTTTGGTTTTAATTCATCAGCTTTAACAGCATGTTCCTTAATTTTGAATGCATTGGCAATTTTTTCTTTTGAACTGACATGGTCACCTAATGCTGATAAACTGATAGCAACCCACTTTAAAAATATAAATTAGTATTATTAGTATTATTATGATTAAATTGGTTTAAAATATACATACTTTGTGAGCAGCCCAATGGTTTGGATCAGCAGTAATAGCTTTATTAGCATATTCGACAGAGGTTTCAACAAATTGTTTCTTTTGTGCTTTATCGTTGGTTTCTTCATTTTTGTCAAAGTAAGCTCTTGAAAGACGCCATAATATTTCTACATTATTTGGTGAATTTTTATCAGCTTCGGTTAAAGTTTCAAATACTTTAGCAAATTCACCATTTTTATGGAGTTCATCAACATTAGCAATAATTTCTTCTGACATTATTAATCTTTTATCTGTTTATATATTAAATGTGTTGAAAAAAAATAATATAGATTTTTTCAAAAAATTAGAAAAAAAAAATTAATTATTTTGAAAATAAAAAATTTTATTTTTTTTTTAATTTTTAAAATTTTTTTTAAAATAATATAATCTCAAAAGAAATTTCCTAATAGGAAATAGATATTTTTTTTTTTTTTATGATAAATAATGATTATAATATAATTAAATTTTATTTTAAATATAATAAAAATATAACTAAATACTTTTAATAATTTCAAGTATAATTATAATTAAAATAAAAATTATCAATATATTATAAAGCGGGACAAACACACATGTGTGTTTTTATTTTTTTAAATATTTTTTTGTCATACGAGACATTTTTATTCGAAAAGTTTTTTAATTTTTCCTTTGATTTTATTATCCCAATTTTTAAATAATAAAAGAATTTCGTATTTAAAAATAAAGATAATACAGAGAATAAAACATGAATAAAATTTAAAAAAATCTATATATAAATGAAGTAAAAAAAATAAAAAATATAAATAAAATAAATTTTAAAAAAAACACATCACTTTTTAAAATTTTATTGTTCTTTGGAATGTTAATTTGATAATAATATTGGAAAACAACGATGTCTTTAGGGTTTGAAATAACAAAAAATTAATTTAATAAATTATTTTGATAAAAAAAAAGATTTTTTTAAAAAATCCAATCTTTTTTTTTATAATATCTAATTTTTTTAATAGTTTTTATCATTAATCTTTCTGCTATAAAAAAAGATTTTTTTTTATTTATTTTATTTTTCATTATTTAAATACAGACACAAACAAATTATATATAAAAATGAAATTACTAATTGTTTTATTATTAGTAATTGTAAATAGCTGCTTTATAAAAGGGTCACAATTATTTGCAAATTTTGAAGGCTCATTCCAAGATAATCAATGTACTTCTGCAAATAAAAACGGCGCTGGTTTCTCATTAGTTATTGGCCAATGCCTAACAGTATTTGGTATATTGGAATATAACAACCCATTCCCAAACACCACCAATTGGTTTTTAAGTCTTAGCGAAGATAAAAAAACATTAGAAATCAAACATTTTGAAGATCTCGATTGTGGAGGAACACCATTAAACACTCAACAATATACTACTCAAACAGGTTGTGTCGAAACTCCACCAATTTTACTTGCAAATAACTCTCTTTACGGTTTTCCCCAATTTTCAAAATTATCATTTGGTACCGATAAACCAATCTATGCTTCCGACTCTATCATCTTTTCATTATACAACTCTGATGATACCCCTACTTGTGATTGGAATGATTTAGTTTTCTCAGTTGCCTATGCTAGCGGTGCCACCATTTACGAATCAGGAGATATTTCTATCAAAGTCAAATGTAACCAAGTTTCCCAAGCTATGATGTTCAAATGCAATAACAACGTTGGTGATTGCCATCAAAGTTTCATTGATAGAGCATGTACATGTACTGGTGATGTTAGTATCTATTGTAACTAAAAAAAATATAATAAAATAAAAACTATAAAACTAAAAAACTATAGAATTATAACACTATAAAAATATAAAAATAGAAAACTGGTTTATTGGTTTATTTTTTTAATTTAATTTTTTATTTTTTATTTTTTTATTTTTTATTAAAATAAAATAATAAAATTTTAAATTAATTTTAAACTTGATTAAATTCAAGTTTTTTACATTTATTCCTAAAGATTGTATCATCTATTGGAAGCTTTATTATTTAAAATAAAATTAATTAAAATTTTAAAATTTTAAATATTTCTTATTATTTTTTTTGGTTTTTTTTTGGTTTTTTTTTTGGTTTATATTATTTATATTGCGTATATTTAATTTATTGATTTAGTTTTTAAATTTATTTGAATATTCTCTCCATCTCTTCATTGCTTTATTCCAAAAAGATAAAATTGGATGGGATAAACTGTCTAAGGGTCCATTATGGTTTTTGTCCTCTTGATCAAATTCTTTTATTAATTCTTCTTGTTTAGAGTTGATATTCTTTGGAATATTAACAATGAAATGAATATATTGACTACCTGTACCATTTGAATTGACTGATGGAATACCTTTATTTTTGAGAACACGTTTTTCGCCTGGTTGGGTACCTTTTGGTACTTTAAGATCAACCTCACCAGAGAGGGTTGGAATAGTTACAGTGTCACCTAAAATAGCTTGAGCTAAAGTAATTGGAACATCCAAATGAATGTCGTTTCCTTGACGTCTGAAGAGTTCGTGCTCTGATACAGTGACATTAACAAAGAGATTACCTCTACGACCACCCTTAAGACCTGGTTCACCTTGACCTGGTACTCTAATGGAACTACCATTATTGATACCTGGTGGGACTTTAATATTTACAGTTCTTTGACCTTGATTAACACCTTTACCTTTACATGTTGAACAATGTTCTTTAATAACTTTACCACTGCCTTTACATGTACGACAAGTGGATGCCATTTGGAAGAAACCATTACTACGAGTTTGAGTACCTGTACCACCGCAATTCTTACATGTTTGTGGTTTAGTACCTGGTTTAGCACCACTACCATCACATGGTGTACATTTTGAACCACCATAAAATGAAATATCTTTTTCACAACCATTCACTGCTTCCATAAAATCTAAATGTAAATTAACTTGAATATCTGAACCTTGTGTTGATTTACTTCTACCACCACCACCACCAAATAAGTCATTTAAATCGAAACCTCCAAATAAATCTTCAACATTAATATTTTCTCCACCTTGGAATCCACCTGGGAAACCACCTGGAAATCCACCATGTTCCATATTTTCTGCTGTTGCACCTTGATGACCTGCCATATCATAAACTTGTCTTTTCTTATCATCATAAAGTACATCATATGCATTTGAAATTTCTGCAAAATGTTTATGAGCATTTGGATCTCCACTATTTGTATCTGGATGGTATTTTTTTGCTAACTATAATAATTAAAAATATTAATATTAATGAATTTTTTTAAAATTATTATTTATATAATTATTATGATTTTCTTTGTAATGGTATACTATTATTCTATTATTATTATTATTATTATTATTATTTTCTATTTATTTAGTTTTTAATGAACCTACACCATAAAAAGCTTTTTTAATATCTTGTTTTGAAGCATCTCTTGATACACCCAAGACCTCATACAAATCTCTTTTTTCTTCGAAAGATGGTGTACTTGGTCTGAAATGTCTTTTAATATATTGTTGAAGTGGTTGTTCTTGTTGATTTAAAATGCATCTACTTGAAAAAGTTGATCTGTTATTATATAAAAATCTTTTGCTAGTTGTAAAATAACCCCTAGAAATACATTTTTTGTTTATTGTTCTAAGTAAATATTTATTATAATTCATTGTAATTATTTTTTTTGTTTTGTTTTGTTTTGATTTCTTATTATAATGATGATAATTCAAGTTGGAGTCCAATTAAAATCTTCAAAAGGGATTTATTTGTAAGAAATATAACTACTATTGTACAATAGCTATTATTTTAAAAAAAATTATAAAAAAAAAAAATGAATAATAATTATGTATTTTGTCAGTAAATAATTTCGAATCGTTAAAATAAAAAATTAAAAAAAAAAAAAAAAATTTTTTTCAAATTTTTTATTTTTTATTTTTTTTTATATTTTTTTAATTAATTTTTGACTTACCATAGCGAAATACGAAAAAAAAAAAAAAAAATAAAATAAAAAAAAAAAAATAAACAACAGAAAAAAAAAAAAAAAAAAAAAAGAAAAAAAAAAAAAAAAAGAAAAAAATTAAAAATTTTAATGAAAAATAAGTTAAATATAAACAAAATTTATCATATGATTTTCAGGAATTAAACACCACACCAATTTTTTTATTTTTAATTTTTTTTTTTTTTAAAAAATAACATTGTTGCAAATTACCAAAAAAGGTTAGTTTATTGATTAATTTATTTATTATTTATTATTTTTAAGATGAGTCTGTTGAGTTATATATCGAGTCGCATTCATCTTTCATAAAATCTTTATAAACTTCAAACCTGTGATTTAAAGATTTTTCGGTGTGAATTTTCAAATAGGATCCTAATCCACCATCTATACCACTGCTTCCATAGACCACTCTTTTAATTCTACTATGTACTAGGGCCATAGAACACATAACACAGGGTTCTCTTGTTAAATATAGGTGGTAGCCATTTGCCAAATATTGACCTTTATTTACAAAGTTTAAAATGTTGTCATCTTTTTCGTTTTCGTCATCTTCGTCATCGTCGTTTGGTTTAATTCTTTCTTTTGTCTCTTTCATTTTATTTTTAATTTCTATTACTTGGTCAGTTGATAGTTTGTTCATAATTGTCATAATGCAATGTGAAACTATTGGCGAAAGGTATAAGGTTTCTTCAATTTCTGGTGTTTGATCTTCTGAAATTCTATTTGTTAAATCGTAACAATTATTTACTACTTTATTGGTTTCTGGATCAACTAAAACTGCACCTATTGGTTTGTGTCCTCTTGTTTTCGCAATTTTAGCTTGTTCGAGGGCACTCATCATATGAGTTCTCATATTTAATAGCTCTTGTTCGTTTAAAGTTGATACTAATGGAGTGGAGCTAAAAAATAGTAAAAATGAAAATACTAATTAGTATGATGTTATGTAACAAGAGGTTTGTTTATATACTTACAAAAAATGAACTCTGTAAACACATGGCCAAATATTATAATTCCAATCATCCCAAAGACTATAGAGCAATGGTGGATATTTTGGTACTTTTTCGACTAAAACTGTAAATTTATTAATTTTTAAAAATTTGATCAATTGAATTTTTTCATTTGATAACGATTTGATTAAATTTTTGAAATTTTCATTTTCATTTTCATTTTCATTTTGACCATCTATAAGTTCCAATTCTTCTGTTTCTGTATTGTAATTTGCCTTATTTAAAATGGTATCCAACTCTTTGAATTTTGACACACTGCATAGAAATAATTGTAATATATTACTATTTGATTTCTTTTTTATTTTTTTTAAATGATTAAACTCTTCTGTAAAATTGGCAGGTTCTAAAATCTGTGATACTGATTTAATATGTTTATTTGCTGATTGTGGTTCTATTTCTATGATATATACATTCTCTAATACTAGGTTAAACTCTTCAGAATCTTCTAAAACTGGTTTTATCTCTTTTTTTATTCTTTCTAAAAATATAATTTCATCTTCACTTAATTTGCTTCTATCTATTGGTGTTGGTACGGTTAATTGTTTTTGTTGTTCATTTAGTTCAGCTGGTGTTTGTTGATCTTGTAGTTTCTTTTGTTTATTAGTTTTTTGTTTTTGTTTTTCTTGTTTTGATTTTAATTTTTTTTCTTTAAGTTTTAATAACTCATCTTTATTGGAATCTAAAATACAATTTGAATCAGGTATTGGTTTTTCTTTTTCGCCCTGTGTCATTTCTCCATAGTCTCTTTTGCTCATTTAATTGATTGTTATTATTATTATTATAATGATCTGTCACTATTATGCTATTGTAAAAAATATAAAAAAAATAAAAAATAAAAAAAAAAAAGTAAAAAAAAAAATAATTTAAAATTTTTTTTTTTTATAAAAATAAATTTTATTATAAAAAATTTAATATAATTATCTATATACAACACTTATAAAAATAGATAATTTCATTTTTTTTTTTTTTTAAACATTGTTTTATTATTTGTTTAAATTTTTTTTTTTATAAGTATTATGTTAAAAAAAAGATAAGATATTATAGAAATTATTTTTATTAAGATATTTAAAAATAGAATAATGAACTAACAAATACATAATTAAAAAAAATAGTAAAATTATAATAAAAAAACATTTCATATGAAATTTGAAATTGAAAATTAATTTTCAATTTTAATTATTTTTTTTATTTTTTTTTTTTTTTTAAATTTTTTAAAAATTTTTTTATATCATTTTTTTTATATTTTTTTTTTTTGTTTATTTATTTTTTTCAGTACTATTGTTATATAGGTTTTCACTTATATGATTTATAGTTAGATTTAAAATGTTAAATAGATTATCTTTATGTTCAACAAAAAATTTCAATAAAATTAGTCAAGGGTTTTTAAAATCCAAAACTAATGTTTTCGGATCATCAAGTATCAGATCAACCTATTCATCAATTAGATTTTTTTCTACCACTGAAGAGTTACCACCAAGAGAATCTGACCAATTTGATGTTGTTATTGTAGGTGCTGGTCCAGCAGGTCTTAGTGCTGCTATTAGATTTAAACAACTCTCCGAAAAAGCTGGTAAAGACCTTAGAGTTTGTATTGTCGAAAAAGGTGCTGAAGTTGGTGCCCATATTTTATCAGGTGCTGTCATGGATCCAAAGGCTATGAATGAATTAATTCCAGATTGGAAAGAAAAAGGTGTAAGTGTTTTATTTTTTTATCGAAACATAAAATTAATATATTCATGTATTAATATTTATTTTATAATTCTTAGGCTCCATTAATTACTGAAGCAACAAATGATAAATTTATGTTTCTTACAGAAAATAGTTCAATTAGATTACCAACACCAAGATTAATGCATAATGAAGGAAATTATATTATTAGTTTAGGTAATGTTACAAGATGGTTAGCACAACAAGCTGAGGAATTGGGTGTAGAAATTTATCCAGCATTCCCAGCTTCAGAAGTTTTATATGATGAAAATGGTGCAGTCAGAGGTATTGCTACTGCTGATATGGGTATTGGTAAAGATGGTAAACCAACTTCAAACTATGCAAGAGGTATGGAGTTAAATGGCAAACTTACTCTTTTTGCTGAAGGTTGCAGAGGTAGTTTAACAAAAACATTATTTGATAAATTTGATCTTCGTAAAGATTGTTTACCACAAACTTTTGGTTTGGGTATTAAAGAGGTAAGTTAATAACAACATTTTTATAATAATTGCAGTTATATTATTAGATTATTAATTTATTTTATTTTTAGACTTGGGAAGTTTTACCAGAAAAACATCAAAAAGGTTTAGTTGTACACAGTTTGGGTTATCCACTTGATCTTAATACTATGGGGGGTGGTTTTATTTATCATGGTGAAAATAATACAGTTTCATTAGGTTTGGTTGTTGGCTTAGATTATTCAAATCCATATTTAAATCCATATCAAGAATTCCAAAAAATGAAATTACATCCATTTGTTAAAGATATGTTAGAAGGTGGTTCATGCATTCAATATGGTGCTAGAACCATTAATGAAGGTGGCTATCAGTCAATTCCAAAACTTATTTTCCCAGGTGGTGCTTTAATTGGTTGTACCGCTGGTTTTGTCAATGTACCAAAGATCAAAGGTTCGCACTATGCTATGAAGACTGGTATGTTAGCTGCTGAAGCCGCTTTTCCAAAACTTATTGAAGAGGATAGTGAATCCAAGCCATTACTCATTGAAGACTATCCAAAGAATTTAGATAACTCTTGGGTTATTAAAGAATTAAAAGAAGTTCGTAATATTCGTCCAGCTCTTCATTGGGGTTTCATTCCAGGTATGATTTATGGTGCAATTGAAATGTATCTTTTACGTGGTAGAGGACCATGGAGCTTATCTCATGGCAAGGATAACGAAACTTTAACCCCAGCTGCCCAAAGTAAGAAAATCGAATATAAAAAGCCAGATAATAATATCACTTTCGACTTAATGACAAGTGTTATGAGATCGGGTACTGGTCACGAAGAGAATCAACCATCACATCTCAAAGTTGCAGATAGAAAACTTGCTAAAGAAGTTAATTACGATGTTTATGATGGTCCAGAAGGTAGATATTGCCCAGCCGGTGTTTATGAATGGATTGAAGGTGAAAAAGGTCCAACTTTACAAATTAATGCTGCCAATTGTAAGTTTTTAAATAAAATAATAATTAATTATATTCAATTTATTAATATTTTTTTTTTTTTTATCTTTTTAAGGTTTACATTGTAAGACATGTGATATTAAAGATCCAAAACAAAATATCAATTGGACTACACCTGAAGGTGGTGGCGGTGGTCCAGCCTACCAAAGTTTTTAAATTAGATCAGACCAAATATAAATCAGATCATTTTTATTGCATGATGTAAATTTTTTAAATATAAGCAATTCTTAAATTTTATAAAATAATAAAAAATATAATAAAATACATACCTCTTTCTTTATTTTTTTTAAAAAATTCATTTTTAAAAGTTTAGTATATTATAACAAAATATTAGTTTTGGCTATTATACAAAATAAATTTATGTGATGTTTATTTACAAAGTTTTTTTTAATATTGTTTAACCTTTGGTATGGTTTTTTTAAAATATGGAATATTATTTGATTCTTTTAGACGTCTATATGCTTCTCTTATGTGTCTTGGTCTAATTGGGCCATTTTCTCGCCATTCTTCCATTATAGTTCTTGCTAACTCCACAATTTCACCAACAAAAACCTTAGCTATACCACCCATAACAATTGCAGAAGTTTGATTTACAGGTGCACTTAATACACTTTGCATAACCTTTTTAATATTTGCACGTTGGAAACTTGATCTTTTGTAATATTCGAAACGAGTTTGTTGTTCCTCATTGAAATGTTGAATTAGTGTATGCATTTGTGAATTTTCTCTGACTTGCATTTCTGCAAGATTAAATGTTGTTTCATCATCGTCATCATCATCTTTACCTTCGCCTTCTGATGAGTCTGAGCTATCTGAACCTGAACTATCTGAACCTGAACTATCTGAATCTGATTCCGAGTCTTCTTCCGAATCTGAATCTTCTTCTGAATCTTCTTCATCTTCATCATCTGTTGTTTTTTCTTCATCTTCATCTGATGTTGCATCTAAAGGACGTCTATTTGCTCTATTTTTATTTTTTTGGAATATTTTCTTTCTCTTTCTATTTTCTACATCTGAATCATCGTCTTCTTCGTTATCTTCATTATCCTCACTTTCGTCACCCTCTGATTCTTCTTCATCTTCTTCATCTTCCTCATCATTATCGTCATCCTCTGAAGTATCTGTAGCTGCTTTTTTCTTTTTTGCTGAAGATGCTGTTTGGTTTTGCTCTTTTTTTGTTAACTTTTTTGGTGGTCCACCTGCTGTTGACGGTCTTTTCTTTGAAGATGGTTGTTGAGGTGAAGGTAAGTCTAAATTTGTACCTGGTGTTGAGGGTGTTGATGTGATTGATGTAATTGGTGGGGCTACAATTGTGGCTGCTGCCCCTGTTAATGGTGTATTTGTTGTGGATGATGATGTTGAGGTTGTTGTAGTTGTGACCCCCCCATTTGCTGCCGCTGCTGCTAATTGTTTTTTAGTTGGTTTCTTTTCTTTCTGTGTTTTGGGTTCTTTTGGTGTTTTAGGTTCTTTCGCTTCTTTAGATACTTTAGGTTTCTTTTCCCTTGGTTCTTTTGGTGTTTTTGGTTCTTTAGGTGTTTTTGGTTCTTTAGGTGTTTTTTGTACTTTTGGTTCTTTTGGTTTTTTCTCTTTTTTCTCTACTTTTGCCTTAGCTGTTTTTTTTTCTTTACCTTCCATCGATGATTGGGATTCTGACATTTTATGTTTATAAAATATATAAATTTAATTTAAAAAAAAATGAAATGAAATGAAAAAAAATTATTAAAAAAAAAAATTATTTTTAAAAAAAAAAAAAAAAAAAAAAAAAAAAAAATAACAATTAAATAATTGTTATTTTTATTAAACTTTATTATATGGGTAAAAATGTTATTTTCTTCTTTAAGAAGAAAATAATTAACTTTTTATTTATTTTACATTGTTTCAAAATCTTTGTAACAATTTTAAAATAATTTTTAAAATTATTTTCAATCATCGATTTGACAATTGAAATGATTTGAATTTAATCTAGGAAGAATTTGTGAAATTAAATAATAGCTTTGTATTTAATTTGATATCTGAATTCTTCCAAAAAAATTATTTTTAGTTTTTTTAAATTGAATATAAAAAAAAAAAATTATTTATATTATTATATGAATATTTAATATGATTAATTTATGATTATCTATATGATTATTTATGTGATTACTTATATGACTATATATTTGATTGTAAAGTATAATTAAAATAATTTATATTAATGGATTGTTACTATAAGATCCATAAGGGCTTGATGGTTCGTGTTCTTGATCTTGGTCTTGTTTTAAATCACCAAAAGAAATTGTTTCATTACTGTTATATGGACTTTGATTTGGTGTAGTTGATTTGGTTATGCTGTTATTATTACTATTGTTATTATTATTATTATCACCACTCGTATTTATTAAACTGCTATTACTACTATTATTTTTACTATTATTACTGCTGGTATTATTTGAAGTTTCTTCAAAATTTTTTAATAAATTATTATCTATGATAAAAAAAATTGGATTAGTATAATATATTATAAAATCTATAAATTAAAATAATTAATAATAGTTACTCCAAATTAATGGTTGCTCTTCATGTCTGGGATATGTAAAGCCTAAAATATTTCTTGGTTTGCTTCTTGAGGTGATAATGTTACCAGAGTGTTTATTTGTGTATACAACAGGTGAACGAATTTTATCAAACTTGTCAGGTTTGAACTCGGTAATTTTTTCAGTATTTTCGAAATAGGTTGTATCGAAATCATCTTGAAGCAATGGCACAAATGGAGGATCGAGTTCATGTAAGTGACCCCATGGTACACCTCTAAAGAATGGATGAGCTTTAATACTTTCAACACCTCTCTCACCTGCACCTAAACGATGTTGACCATCAGTAATTAAACCAGAAATTAAGTCCCAAAGCTCATCAGAAACTCCTTCTGGTCTTTGAAGCATAGTTTTCCATTTCAATACTGTTTCCATTACTTCCTCTGGTGAATCTCCATCGAATGGTGGTACGCCAAATATGAATTCATAAAACATACAGCCTAAAGACCACCAATCCACTTCATCACCATAACCACTTGTTGCCTGTAAAACTTCTGGTGCCATATAGAAAGGACTTCCTACAACGGAATATGCTAAACGAGCAGCAGCACCCAAGTCTTTGAATGATCCAAAATCTGTAACTGAAGAATTTAAAGCAGCATTACCAAATTTCATTGGAGTATGCTCAATGGAACTTGTTAAACTAGTATTTGCACCCTTCATATAACGTGTTATAACATTTTTACTTAAACCAAAATCGGCCAATTTAACGTGACCATTACGATTAATAAGGAAATTCTCTGGCTTTAAATCTCTGTGGCAATAACCTAATTGATGGCAACTATCTACAGCTTCTACCATTTCGGCCATATAAAATCTAGCAGAGTCTTCGTCTAATGCATTCAATGCACTTAATAATGATCTTAAATCTCCACCTGGGACGTACTCCATTGCCAAATAAAGATATTGTTCATCTTGAAATGAATAAAGTAATGAAACTATCCATCTATGATTTTTTCCTTGTGCTAAAATATCTCTTTCGTTCTTTATATGGGACACTTTATTTCTTGACCAAATTAAATCTTTCGACATTCTCTTTAATGCAACGATTTCGCCGGTATCATTCTTTTTTGCTAAAAATACTTGACCAAACCCACCTTCGCCAATCTTTTCAATTAATTTAAAATCGATTATTGATACTGGTGGATAGTGCGATTTGGTTTGAGACGATGGTGATGGTGATGGTATGACATAATTATTATTAATTTGTAAATAATCAATATTACCAGATTTTTTTAATTGACTATTAATATTACTAGTATTATTATTATTATTTTTAACAGGTGTTATTATATTATTATTATTACTACTATTATTATTATTATTATTATTATTATTATTAGTATTAGTATTATTGATACTATTATTATTGTTTAAACTATTATTATCGTTATTATTTAAAATGTTTGATGTATTGCTACTGCTTATTGAACTTGAATTATTACTATTATTTAATGATTCAATAATTGATATATTATGTAATGGTGGTGGAGTTGTTGGTGAAGGTATTTTAGTTGAATTTGATGGGGATTGATTTGGAGAATATAATACATTTTTAGAATTCGATCTAGTTCTTTGTAGCAAGGGTCTTGATGAAAATGTTGGTGAAGGTTGTGGTGACTCCTCTTTAATTGGAGAAAAGGTTCCATTTGAAACTATTGAGGTATTACTATTATCTATATTATTACTTATTGAAAAATTATTTGTACTATTATTAATTAAGTTTACATAATCTTCCATTTCCTTTTCTTTTTTTGATTTTTCTTCTTTTTCTCTAAGCTCTTGTTTTAATTTTTCTTCAACAATTTTTTTATTAATATAATATAAATTATCATTATTGTTATTACTATTACTGCTACTAAAATTACATTCGTTTATATTATTATTGTTTGATGAAGAAAAAACAGTTGAACCATTTGGTGTGTGAATTACATTATCTAATTTTAATGCATTTAAATTTGGTACTAAAGAATTTGTTGGTGAGGTTTCTTTCAATAGCGTAAATGGCCTCTTGAAGAAATCGTCATCTGGAGATACGACGCCATATGGTATAGGTGAAAGAGGAGGTGAAGATTTGGCCTTCTCGTGCCTAATTAAACGTTTGGAGCTTGGTGAATCGTAGGCTCCACTATTACCCATACTACTTGTTGAGTTTATAAAATTAATGTTGCTACTATCTCCTATACTACTATTAAAACTGGTTTGAATACTATTATTGGTGCTATATGTTATAAAATTACTACTATCTCCTATACTACTATTTATGCTACTATTTATACTACTCCCAACATTTGTATTAATACTATTTGCTATCGATCTACCGCCACTATTATTATTGCTATTATTGTTACTGTTATTGTTTATATTGTTATTATTATTGTTATTAAGTAATGACTGATATGACGACGATTTTGAAAAAAATCCAATTAATCTTCTTGGTGAATTTAAACCTTTTGGTGATGAAATAAAAGGTGGTGATGATCCATTTGGTGAAGCTATAATTGGTGAAATTACATTTGGTGATGCGTTTGGTGATCCATTATTAGTGGTAGTGGTAGTGGTGGTGGTGGTGGTGGAATTATTTATTATAGAGTTTTCTGAAATTTCTGGCAAAAGACTTGAGGGCTTTGCATCCATTAAAGATGGTATAATAATTGATGAATGAGATGATGTTAAATATTTTGGTGAATTTGGATCATTTCTAGAATCATTACTATTGATTATAGTTTGTCTTTGTGATAGTGGACTATTATTATGATTATTATTATTATTATTACTATTCTCTATAATACAACTATTTTTTAAAGGTGATAATGGTGATGATGGCTTTGAAATTGAATCGGATGATTCTTTTAAAGAAAAAACCATTTGATACGGAGTATAAAAAATTTAAAATAATGATTTTTTTTAATACCAAAAAAATATAAAAAAAAAAAAAATAAAATACACACAATGTTTAATTAATATTGTTAATAAAGCTTTATATTATTGTTTGTTTTTCTTTATTATTATTATTGTTGCTTGTTATTATTGTTGTTAGTTATTAAAATGAATATATTATAAAAAAATTTTCATTAACGAATTATTTTAATATTTAAAAAAAATTAAAAAAAAAAATTTTAAAAATAAAATTTAAAAATAAAAAATAAAAAAAAAAAATAAAAAAAATAAATATATATTTTTAAATAATTAAATCTAGTTATTTCTTTTTTTAATAAAATATTAATAAATTAAGAAAATTTTTTTAAAAAAAATTAATACATATACATCTAATTTATATTCTTAAATATTTATAATAAAATTATTATATTTAAATTTTTATAAAGTAATCACACCAAAATTGAAGAATGATCAAAAAAAAATTTTAATTTCACATAATTTCTAAATTTTATATATATTTAGTTTATTTTTATATTATCATAAAAAATAATTTATTATTATTTATTAAAAAAATAAAAAAAAAATTTTAAAAAATAAAATTTTGTTGAAGTTGTTTTTTTTTTTTTTTTAATTTTTTTAATTTTTTTTTTAATTAATTTTTTTTTTTTTTAATTTTTTTCTTTTTTTTTTTTAATTTTTTCAATCATTCAATTTATTACTTTTTTTTTTTTTTTTCTTTCTTATTTATTAATTTATTATTTTACATATATATAATATATTTTGTTTAATTTTTTATAAAAGAAAACAAGATGAGTAGAGCAGGTACAGCAGGTTATGATATGAGTATTATTTTCTCACCACAAGGAAAATTATACCAAATTGAATATGCATTCAAAGCTATTAAAACAGGTGGTCTCACATCAGTTGGTATCCGTGGTAAAGATTCAGTAGTTGTAGCAACTCAAAAGAAAATCCCAGACAAGTTAATTGACCCAAAATCAATTACATCACTTTATAAACTTACTGATTATATTGGTTGTGTCCAAACTGGTATTGTTCGTATGTATTATCAAAATCATCTTTATCAATATAATAATAATAATAATAATAATAATAATCTAAAATAAACAAAATAAAAAACAAAATAAAAAATAACAATAAAAATAATAATAAAAATAATAATAAAAAAAACAAAAAATTATTTTATTTAAATAAATCATCACCTTTATCAATAATAAGTTATTAATTATTTATATTTTCTATCAATTTAATTAGCTGATTCAAAATCTCAAGTTAGTAGAGCTATTCAAGAATGTGCATCATTCCATCATAAATTTGGTTATCAAATGCCACCAAATGTTTTAGCTAAAAGAATTGCAGATATTGCACAATTATCAACACAACATGCTTCAGCTAGACCATTAGGTGTTGGTATGTATTTCATTTTATGTTTTATTTTTATTCAACTTTGCTTTATTTACTTTTAATTTAAATATATTAATTTTTTTCTTTTTTTTTTTTAGCAATGATCCTTATTGGTATTGATGACGAATTAGGTCCACAACTTTATAAAATTGATCCAGCTGGTGTATATTGCGGTTATAAAGCAACTGGTGCTGGTGAAAAAGAACAAGAAACAACCAATTTCCTTGAAAAGAAATTTAAATCAAATCCACAATTATCAAGAGATGAAACTATTCAAGTAATTATTAAATAATTCTAAAGATATTAATATTTAAATTGATACTAACTATTCTCTTTTTTTTATTTTAAATAGATGGCCATTTCAACACTCCAAAATGTTTTAGGTGCTGATTTAAAGGCATCAGATATTGAAATTGGTATTTGTACAGTTGAAAATAAAAAGTTTGCTGTTATGACTGAAGAAGAAATTGATGTTCAATTAACTAAACTTGCTGAAAGAGATTAAAAATACAGATAATTATAAAATAAAAACCAAATTGTTATATAAAAAAAAAAAAAAAAAAAAAAGAAAAAAAAAAAAGTTTTAAAACAATAAAACATATATTATTTTTGTATAAATTAATTTTATTCTAATTATTACTGTTGTTATTTATTATTGTCATTGTTATTGTTAACTTTTTCAAAATATTTTTCTGCTTTTTCCCAAATGTCTTTGTATATAGGGTTTGATTTAATACGAGTTTGATATTCTTTGTCGGTTGAAACTTTATTGGATTGTTTTCTTAACATAACAAATAAATAATGGCAAAATTGATTAATAACAAAATTAAGTAGCCAATAGGGAATTAACTGCATACATGGATCTGTAAGTGAAACTACTTGAACATAAGTTTTATCTTTTGAAATTGGTTTAATGGTAAAACCTGAAATTTTGGCATCTGCTCTTACTGTGCCATCTTTAGGGGTTGGAATATCGCTTGTTAATTTTATATCAATTAAATCCTCTTCTTTAATGGTTCTAGAAACTACAACAACTAAATCCTCCTCTTCCAACATATCAACCCCATATCCATATAAACACTATAAATTATAAATAAATAAATAAATTAGTTTTATAAAATATATGTGTGGTTTTATATTTATAAAATAATAAAAACTTACAACATCTCTATTTGCGACAGGCCAGGGACAACTTGCTTTACAATATAATAATCTTTTATATCTTGAATCTTGATATAATATCTGTGAGCATAGCATTCTTGGTATCCAACTTGAATAGAGATCCGCTTCCATAATTACACTACAAACATCAAATATTGGTGACTCTATTATACCTTCAATTCTAATACTGTGCATACCCGACCCATTTTCTTTATACATTGAATGAATTCCATTTGAGTTATGAATTGATTGCCAACCCTCTAAATATTATTATAATTATTATTATTATTGTTATTATGTATTCACAATAGTACTATTGTTTTTTAATATATGGATAATATTATATTACATACGGGATAGGTAGTCGCTTGATAACATTAATAATAAATCATCGATTTCTAGAGATTCTTGTTTTAATTTTTTCAATCTAACATCGTTTCTAATGGTTTCGATGATTTTGTTTAACTCTACATTTGATTCGTCTAAATCTTTTGAAATTTCATCTATTAAAAGTTCTAATGATACTAATTTTTGGCCTGCTAGTTTTATTTTATCCAAATTGCACAATTCTAAAACTTCATTATATTGATTCGCTATATCATCTATATTTATAATTAATGATTGATTGTTTTCTTCATTATTCTTTATAAATGTATCACTACTGGACATCATTTTTAATTGAGTTTTATAGTTTTGAATTAATTAAAACAAAATATATAAATATAAATATTTTGTTATTTTTGGTTAACCACACACACACTCACACACACAAAAAAAAAAAGTATTTAAAAAGTAATTAATAAAAAAGAAAAAAAAGAAAATAACCCACTCACAAAAAGAAATAATAATTAAAAAAAATTTTCGAGCCAGCTTATACATAAAAATCAAAAAAAAAAAAAAAAAAAAAAATTAAAAAAATAAAATAAAATATATTTAATTTAATCAGTTTTATAAAAATATTTATTTTTAAATGTTGTAAATTATAAGTATCAATATTATATTTTTAATAGGTAAAATATATTAATTAATAAATTATATTTTTAATAATATTTTAAAAACAGTTTTTATTCAAAAAAAAAAAAAAGGAGGGTTAAAAAAGTTAGTTGTTTTATTTTTTTTTTTTTCAATCACAATCAGATAATTCTAATAATCGTAATAGATTTATCAAGTGGTTTTTTTTGTAGTTTGTAAAACTGTTTAACTTTTTTAAAACTAAATATTTAAAATTTTGGTTTTTTTTTTTGACTATAAATAAACTCTAGAGTTTATTTATTAAATATTCAAAACATAAATAAAAAAACAAAAAAATGAATTATAAATATATATTAATTATTTCATTAATTTTAATTATTAATGTAGCTTTTTCAGAAATTACAACAAAGAAAGGTGGTGCAATTAATAATGCTTATGATTCAATGAACAAGAAACAAAAAAGCGATGCTAAGGATGCAATTGAAGGTGTAGAATATGCTGATGCCTTCCTTACTAAAGCTAAATCAGGTATCTCAAAAACTAAATTGGTTCGTGTTGATATGCAAGGAATATTTAATGGTGATGGTGGTGTATGGCATAACTTACAGGTATGTATTTATATATAATATAATATAAAATTTATTTATAAAACATTAATATTAATTTTTTAAAAATTAGGCTCAAATCAATGGTGTTAAAAAAGCATCTACTGTTGCTCATGTAAATGTATGTTCAAGTTTAGCAAATAATAAAAAACAAGAACCAATTATAAAAGCAATTCATAATGCTCTATTAAGTAGTTTAGATGATGGCCATAGCTATGATGTTTGTGGCAAGGCTTAATAAAATTCAAATTACTACTTTGGTTATTGCTAAATTACCAAAATAATATTAAAACATAAAAAAAAAAAAAAATAAAAAAAAAATAAAAAAAAAATAGATAAATTATATTTGACCAATATAATGACCTAAAAAACAATAGATATAAGTCAATTTCTAATATTATTAATTAAAAATAACTCTCATAAAATTTAATTCACACACTTTTCACCCCATCACACCTAAAATCTTTTCATGCAAAAAAAAATGATTTATATAGTAATTTTTTAGTTGTAAATTCAATTTATTAAATATGGGTGTTCTAATAATTTATAGACTGATAAAATAGTGTTAGTGAATGGAAAAATGTTATTATTATTTATTTTTTATTTTATTTTTATTTTATTTTTATTTAATTTTTTTATTTTAAATCATTGAAATTTTCAAAAATCAATTCATTTTTATTATTTCATCTGAAATAAAAGAGTATATTAAAAATGAAGCTATTTATAATATTAATAATTTTAATGGGAATAAAATATATAGAATGCCAAAGGACAATAGTTTTATCAGCGACAATTGTAATTATAGTTTATTAAAAATAATAAAGTTATTTCTTTATTAATCATAATATTTTTCAATTAAATATTAATATCTTTTTTAATTTTTTTTCCTATAGTATGATCATTCTCCTTTAAGAAATCGTATTTATTTATTTTTATATTTTTTTATAAATTTTTAAAATTATTAACCCTAATTATTTAAAATTGTTTAGCTGATTTTGAAGTCCCAGGAACAGGTCCACCTGGTTCAGTACAAGAGGGTATGTATTTAAATGAATCTAATTTACAAAATATTAAACTAATTTTTTTTTATAAAAAAACTAGGTATTGTTTTACCTACATTAGACCCAATTACCAAGATTCCAACTTATTGTTGTGGTGATGGTTCAATATTTGATCTAGGTAGATTGGTTATTCATAATGAAACTACTTTTAATCAATGGTTTGTTGATATACCAGGTGTTAACATTCCTTTCCCATATGAATTAGTTTTAACTGAAACTGGTGTCGGTACTGGAATATATGAATTTGCATCAACTTTATTCTTCCCACTCAGTATTTATTTAATTTAAAGATAATATAAATTTGTAATAATATTAATATTTTATTTTATTTTAAAATTTTTATTTAGATGGCATGGGATTTGATAATAAAACAGAATACCCAAATGAACCAGTCTATTATGATCTTTATGGTAACCCAGAAGCTTTCCATTTCTGTATGGCTATCCATTCTTCATTTCCTTACAATGGTGGTGAAGAGTTTAGATTTGCTGGTGACGATGATGTTTGGATTTATTTTAATAATCAGTTATTGGTAGATTTAGGTAGTATTCACCCAATCGCAGAGAAAGTTGTAATGCTTGATGAAATTCAAGGATTGATCCCTGGAAACTATTACGATTTCGATATGTTCTATTGGTAATATATTATAAATTTTTATAAATTTTTTATTTGTATACTAAACTTTTTTTTATTATTTTTTTAACTTTATTAGTGAACGTCATACTGATAATTCTGATTTAATTATATCCGCAAATTTTAATTTTGTTTGTCCATGGTATGATGCTGTATGTAGTAGTTCATAATATTTAAAACTATTTATAATTTTAGTTATTAATTGGTTTTTATTAAATTGACATTTTTTTTATATTATTTTTTAAAATAAAAAAAAAAGTGTGGAGTATGTAAAGGTCGTAATGATACTTGTTGTAAAGACCCTTGTGAAAACTTGAACCAATGCTCAATAGGAACTTGTAATGTTGATACCAATTTCCAATGTATTCAAGAAGATAGAGATTGTGATGATGGAGATCAATGTACTACCCATTCCTGTGATGTAGACCAAGGTTGTATTAATATACCTTTAAACTGTGATGATGGAGACCATTGTACTGAAGACTCATGTGACTCATTTTTGGGGTAATGTTGATTATAAAATGTTTTAATAGAAAAAATATTAATCATTATTTTTCTATTTTTATTTTTATAGATGTGTTCATACCGAAATAGAAAACTGTAGACCATGTAACCCAGGAGAATGCCCTACTACAGATTTATGCTTCCCATCTGAATGTAACCCATTTGAAGGTGAAAAATGTATAAGTCGTGAAATCAATTGTACAATCAGTGATCCATGTGGTATAGGAAGATGTGATTTAGGTATTTGTGTTATAGATTGGATATGCACACCAACACCAACCGAATCACCAACCGTATCTCCAACTGAAACGCCAACAGATACACCATCATACGAGCCAAGTTATCCACCACCAAAAGGATTACATAGAAATTGTTTAAAGTGTGAAGATTTACAATGCGAATATAATTGGTGCACATATGTTAAAAATCCAAAATGGGATACATCAGAATGTAATGAAGATTGTTGCAATTTCACACCAACATGTTACACTAAAAGAAGATTGTTATAAAAAATTTAATAAAAATAAATTCAATATTTACATCTTTTTAAAAAATTATATACACTTTTATTTTTAAAATTAAATAAACTATTATTTATTATTTCTATCTAAAATTTCTTTTTTTAATTTTTCAAACTGTTTGTCTTGGTCAAAATAATGGGAGTTGGGTGGTTTCTTTTTTTCAGTTTCGTTCTTGTATAACTCTGTCGTTATTTCCTCACTTGATTTTGGCGCTAAACTATCCACTTCAGCATTGAACCTTGTTATATATTCTTTATGTCTTTTAATTAAAGCCTGTCTATCACCATTCGTCTTTAAACCTAGTTTTGTTAATGCATCTTTTAATTGCTTTGAATTCATAATTGAGTAAACTATTTTTGGTAAATATTTTCCATTTGTTGGATTATATTGACTATTACTATTGTTGCTAATATTACTGTTGCTATTTGTATTGTTGCTGTTGTTATTGTTATTGTTATTATTGTTATTGTTATTATTGTTATTGTTATTGTTATTATTATTATTAAATAAATTATAATGATTAAGTTTAAAATTATTTTGTTTTTTTTCGCCATCATTTAAGCATTCATTTGCATGGATATTAATAAACTCCTTTACAATTCTTATATTACACAATGGACATAATAACTTTCCATCATCCTCTTCCTTTACAGTATTGATAGTATTTGCATTATTTTTACTTGTGTCACTTTCATTTATTATAATTATTTCATTTAATTTATCTGGATTAGTATCGTCTATAACCTTATTTTCACTTTCTAAATCTACAACTTTTTCTTTTTCTTTTTCTTTTTCTTTTTCTTTTTCTTTTTCTTTTTCATTTTCTTTTTCTTTTTCTTGATCAATAACAACTATACTATTATTTCTTGAACGAGATCTTGTCATCATTGGTGTTGGTGATTGTGAGGAGGGTGGAGATGAATTTTTTATTTTTTTATTTGGTGATGTTTGAGAACTTGTATTTACAGAATTATTTTTATTACTATCTAAAGGTTCTTCTAAAGATGATAATCTTTTTTTGGGTGTTGATTTTTTATCTAAATTCTTGCCTTCTAAATTATTTTTATTATTATTATTATTATTATTATTATTATTATTAATGCATTTACAATTATTTTTCATTTTTTGATTCTCTTTTTCTAGATCTATTATATATTTTTTATAATTTTGAACTAATAGATCTAAATGTCTATTATTTAATAGCTGAGTTGAATTACAATCTAATCTACATGAAGGACAACTTTCTTTAAAAGAAAGTGCAGTTCTAATACATAATGAACAATCTTTGAAAAAATTTGGTTAAAAATAACTATTTTTTATTTGTAATATTAATTTTTATTGATACTTACAATTATGTGAACATTTTGTCATCATTGTTGTGTTAAAATAATCGTAACAAATCGGACATCTTAATAGACTATCCATATTATCAATACCATTATTACTATTGTTGTTATTATTATTACTATTATTTTTTATTTCATATTGCTTTATATCCATTCGTTTTCGCGGTTTTAGTAATTAAAATTTTTTTTTAAATAAAAATTTAAAAAATAAAAAAAATAAATTTAAAAATTTAAATATTTTTTTTTAAAAAATAAAAAAAATAAAATAAAATAAAAGAAAAGAAAATAGAGATACATTCATGTAGATATATAATAAAATAAAAATAATAAAAATAAATAATGATTTTAATATTTTTATAATTTAGTATAAATTTTAATTAAATTAAAATTTGTTTTTTTTAAATTAAATTTTTTTTTTTAAAAAATCCAAGAGAAAAAATTTTTTTATTTTTTTATTTAATTTTTTTACTATATTGTTTGTATATATAATAACAATAATAATAATAATAATAATAATAATTATAAATACAAATACAATTATAAAATAATATAAAATAAAATTTGAATATAGAAAATGAAGACTGTTTTTGTTACGGGTGCTACAGGTTTTCTTGGATGCAATCTAGTAGAACAATTATTATCGGATAAAGAAAATGATTATTTAGTCTATGCATTATACAGATCATCAAAAAAAGTTGGAGAATTAAAATCAATAGCAAAAATACTCAATAAACAAGATAATTTAAAATTAGTCAAAGGTGATATATCCAACTATGAGTCATTATTAAATGCAATTCCAGATAACTGCACATTCTTATTTCATTTAGCAGCAGCAATTGATAGTGATTCACCAGAAAAACAATATGAAATCAATGTTAATGGTACAGCAAATGTAATTGAAGCATGCATTTCGAGAAAAGTTCAAAGATTAATTTATACATCATCTATTGCCACATTTGATTTCGATGATGTTTTTAGTAGTAGTAAAGAAACTAGAGACAATAAAACAGCAAATAAAGCAAAGAACTCTTTTTCATCACCAGGTATCAATGAATTAACATCGAAAAAGAATTTCCCACGATTAGAATATGCTCGTACTAAAAGAATTGCGGAACTATATGTAGACGAAGCAATGCGTAGAGGTTTAGATGTAGTTGTAGTATCACCAGGTTTTATTATTGGTAGATATGATGAGTTTGGTGTAGGTTCAATTATTTTAATGATTGCAAACGAGTCATCATCAAGTATAAGATGCGGTCAAGCAAAAGCTACTTTTTGTTCTGCTGAAGATTGCGCTAGAGCCCATATTAAAGCTGCTGAAGTAGCTAAACCAGGCACAGAGTTTGTAATTGGAGGTAATGCATACTATTGGAAAGAATTATACGAACAAGTTTTATTCCAGTTAAACATTGAAAAACATGTCCAAGTTACTTCACCACTATCATTGGTTTTAATTGGTAAAAAGAATGATCTATTTAAAAATTGGTTTGGAAGTAAAAACACAATGATTAAACCCATATCATCTGAAGCAATCGATCCAACTTCACCAAACTCAATATTATCTGCAAGTAGTACCAAAGCTTCAAAATCCAACCCATCTCCTGCACCTTATCTTACAATGGTTTTGGCTATTTTTCAATCAATCGATCTCAATATAGATTCTACACGAGCAATTGAAAAACTAAACTATAAATATTCAACTTTAGAATTTATGATAAATGATAATATCAAATGGTTAAAAAAAAGAAATTTATTATAAATAATATAATATAAAAAATAAACAAAACAATAGATAATAGAATAATAAATAGAATAAAATAAATATAAAACTAGCTTTTAATCTCAAAAAGAAAATTTATTTTTATTTATTTTTTATTTATTTTTTATTTATTTTTTTAAACTGTAAACTTGATTTAAAATTTCTGTTCTTTTATCTTTAATATAATTTGGTGTAATAATATTGAATATAATTTCTTTGGTTGATGGGGACAATAAAATATCGCTATAGTCTAAATCTGGATGTTTTTCTTTTTTGTCAATTATAATATTTAATAATTCCTCCATCATTCCCAATCCATACAATCCGCAATCGTGTGAATTAATTTGTTGAGGTGTTGCTTGGAAATTAATATATTCTAAAAAATAATAAAAAATAAAAAAATAAATAAATTAAGAAAAAAAATTAAATAAAAACAAAAGTTTTGGAAAATTAAAAAGGGAATTTATGAAAAAAAAGAAATTTTTAAAAAAAAAAAAATTAATATTTTATAAATATTTTTTAAATTAATTAAAATAAAATTTATTTTATAATTAATATTATTTTAAAAATAATAATTACCTTTTAAGTTTTTATTAGAGTTTGTTAATAAAAATTTAAATTTTGAAATAACAAAAAGTGCATCTTGGGAATTTGAACGATTCATAGAGTCATAGTATAAAAATTGATTTAATTTCTTTACAAATACCATTAAAGACCAATGTGAACCTCCACCAATAATCTCTGGATTTCTATTATTGTTTAATGGTATAAATATTAATTCTCTTGATTCTAATTTTAATTGGCTAAGAATTGCAAGAACTTCTTGTTCGGAATCTACAAATGAACATAAAAAAATAATACTTGGGCTTAATAAAAGAATTTCTTTTTCCAATTGTTTATTTTCATTTTTTTCTAATAACTTGTCTTTTAAAAATTCGATTTTGAATGATATGATAGAATCGTTAAGCCATTGATTTGAGTTTTTTAATATATTGACATCTGATTCATATATTGAAGAGTCTTTGAATGATACTACTAAATTATCTGTCATTGCTAATTTCTTTGCTTGCACCTAAAAATATCGATAATTACCCTAAAATTCAAAAATTTCTTTATAAAAACAGTAATGATTTTACAATGGTGTCATTAAAATGACTTTCACACAATAAAAAAAAATCATAAAAAAAAATAAAAAATAAATAAAAAAAAAAAAAAATTTTTAAATTAAAAAAAATTAATTAATTTTTTTTTTATTTTTTTTTTTATTTTTTTTTTTTTTATTTTTTATAAATTAAAAATTTTATTTTTTTATAAATTAAAAAAATTTTTCACATTTACTTTTTTATTTTTTATCAAGATAGTTATCAAAAAAATTTCATATAATATTTATTCATTTATTTATTTAATTTTTTAAAAAATAGGTAAGTAAAAAAAAAATATATAAAGATACTAAATGATTAATATTTTTACAGATTGATATTTTGATTAATAATAATAATAAAAATAATAGTAACAATAATAATAATAATCATAATAATATTTTTTATTGGTAATAAATAATTAAAAGAAATAATCTATCTAAGATTATATTAATTAAAAAAATAAAATAAAAAGTATATAATTATATATTTATATAATTATATATACATAACTTTTCAATATTATTTTTCTTTTTCTTTTTTTTTCTTTTTTCTTTTCTCCTTTTTTTTTTTTTTTTTGTTTTTTTTTTTTGTTTTATTTTCTTTTTTGTTTTTAATTTTTTATTTTTATCCACATTCACACACCCACACAACCCATACATATACACTCATATAAATTAATACATTACACACCCACACTTTATTTCAACCCCCATACCTATTTTTAAACTTTAAAAAACACACCATTTTATATTTGCTTCGATAGAGCATATTAAATTTCTTTTTTTATTGTTTTTATTTTTTCATTTTCTATATATTCATAATTTTATTTATAGTTTTTTTTTATTTTTTTTTTTTTTTATTTTTTTTATTTTATTTTTTTTTTAATCCATATTTTTTTCTTAAACCATATTTGCTTTAAAATTATTCTAGTGTATATATATTTAATTATTTATAAACATTATATTTATAATTTAAACCCCACACACACAAAGAGTATGCTTTAATTTATTTTTTTTTTATTTTTTTTTTTTTATTTTTTTTTTTTAATTTTTGTTAAAATTGTCATCAACATTTTTCATTTGTTTCAATTTTAAAAAATATAATCATAGATAAAATATTTATACACCAACAATTTTTTATACATATTACCTTATTGTTCCATTCAATTTTATTAATAAATAATATAAATTAATAATAATTAATAAGTTATTTGTATTATTATTTTTACCATTACTATTAATATAATTTTTTATAAAATAATTTTAAACTTTTAATTAAATAGATTTATTAATATTTACCTTTTTTTTTTTTCTTCTATTTTTTCTTTTCTTCTTTTTATTTATTATAGGTTTTAGAATTTAAATAAATAAAAATAATTTCAAATATAATATAATATTACATCAATTTTTAGATTGGGAATTTTTTAAAAATAAACATTTTAAAAAATTTTATGAATCTATTAAAACTTAAATTTTAAAAAGTTTTCTTTTTTTATTTTATTTTTATTTTTATTCCATTTTTATATTTTTTTCTATTATTTATATATTTTTCCTTTTTCTTCCTCTCTATATATTTTAATATATATTTATAATTAAAATAATTTTAATAGAATAATAATCAATGCATATATTTTATTTAGTAAACTCGAAACAATCATCCAATAATATTAATAACAATAATAATATTAATAGCAATAGTGTTGCCATCAATAATAATAATAATAATAATAACAGCAACATCAACAGCAATAAAAACAGTAAAGATGAAAGAAAATTTTTCAATTATAATTTAAATAATAATGATAATAAAGTAATCGATCAATTTCCGCATCAAGTCGGGGGACATTCAGCAATGCTTTCAATAGAAGGAAATATTTGCAAACCTTTAATAAATCGAGAACTTCAGTTTTATCAATTTACACAACAAAAAGATAATATACATAGTTTCTTCATCTCACCATTTTTAGCCAAATATTACGGGGTCATTGAAGTTTTAAAATCAAAAAATGAAGAAATCTTAGATAATAATACCAATAATATTAATAATAGTAACAATAGCATAAATATAGATTATAATCACAATAGTATTGTTAATAGTAAAAATATTAAAAAACCAAAAGATTGTAAACATCCAAGTGGCACACAACAGAGATATATAGTCTTAGAAGATTTAACAAAGAATTATAAAAAACCATGTATAGTAGATATTAAAGTTGGTACTAGACAACGTGGCGCCATTTGTTCAACAACAACCTCTACAACTTTAGGTATAAGAGTTTGTGGAATGAAAATTTTTAGCCCAGAAATTGGCAATATAGTTTTCGATAGATATTATGGAAGAACACTAAATACTGAAACTTTGGAAGATTCACTATTCAACTTTTTTACAAGTAATATTTATAATAATGATAGTAAAAAGAATAATAATTACAAAAACAACAAAATATTAAACTTAGAAAGGGTTAAGCTTTTGGACTCAATTATAGAAAAATTAAGTCAAATAGAATGTAAGTTTAAAATTTAATTTTGAATTTTTAGAAAAGAAAAAAAATATTAATATCCAATTTTTATAAAATTAATTTAGGTATTATATCAAATAAAAATGAAAAGTTCCCATTTAAAATTTATTCAAGCAGCTTATTAATTATCTATGAAGGTAGTGAAGATACAGCAATCGATGAAAACACTATAAATAGCAATACAAATTGTATAGATATTAATATGTCACAATTCAATGTCGAAACTTCCCATTCAAACTCGTCATCTTGTATGACAACCCCCTCCCAATCACCAACCACATCACTTTTAAACATTTCAAATGACTCACCAAATCAAAATAATATTAAGATTCAAGATAATATAAATAAAATATTAAGACCAAATAGCCCCAGTAACAGTTCAGGCCATTTTAGAAACAGTGGTGATATTTTTAAGTCTATGGATGAATCTTCAGATGATACATTTAGTCCCGATGAAGATATAGATGAATCTTTTCTCTCTAGCGATATGGACTCTGATATAGATGAAACATTATCAAATAGCAGCCACAGTAACTACAATAGAGGCAATTCAACATCATCATCAACCAACTCTTTAGAAAGAAAATGCTTGAAAAATGACATTAAAATGATCGATTTTGCCCATGCCATTCCTATTGACGAGCAAGATGCTACCGAAGACGATGGTTACTTATTTGGTGTCCAAAATCTCCAACTTTTATTATTCAAGGTTAAATCTAGAATTATATTTAATAATAACAGCATCAATGATAATTCAAACCATATAAAAGATGACATATTAGATTCCTCCTCCTTATCCTCATTATCACAAAATTCTTTAGAGTTTGGTGGTAATGGTGATGACTTTTCATTTTTAAAGTTATATCAAAAAGAATTAAATAATAATATTAGCAACATAAATAATAATACATTTATCCCATCATTTTATTAATAAAAATAAATATAATTATTATTTTATTTATTTAAAATGATTATTATAGAAAATAAAATGAAAAACAAAAAGTATTTAATAAAACAATGTATTTAAAAAAAAAAAAACTTTATTCTGTAATCTAAAACTTATATTTAAAATTCTTATATTAAAAATACTTTATTAAATATTATATTATATTTAAAATTTAATTTATATTATATTATATTTCTATATTTTCTTTTTTGTTATTTATTATACTTATTATATTATATTATTTTTTTATTTATTTATTTATTTATTTATTTATTTATTTATTTATTTATTTATTTCTTCTTTTTTTGTTTTGAGGCTGTGGTTGAGGCTGTTTGAGATTTTGGTTGCTTTTTTATTGGAATAGTAATAACTGGTGATGATGATTCAAAGGTAAGGCCTGGTTCGTCGCTTCTAGCTAAAAGATAATCATTAATAAAGTTATCGACATCTGAAGTGTAGCCTAAACATTCTTTAGCACATTCACGAATTTCGCTTTCGGTTTTAAGACTACAGAGAAGTTCGGTGATAACGGTGACATCGTTATTGGTTAAGGCTTTAAGTTGTTGGTGGCACCATTTAATAAAATCTGGTCTAGCTTGGCCTGGTACAGTAACAGTGGTTTTCTTGATGTTTGATACTGGGTTACTATTTTTGACAATGGTGGTTGGTTTATTTGGAAGAATATTAAGGGTTGGGAAATCATTTGGATTTGATGTGTAAACTGGAGATGGAGCATTACCTCTAACAGAGAGTGATGGTTTAGTGGAGGATGATGATGAGATGGTGTTTTGTTCACTCCAAACATCATTATTGGATGGTCTGATGGATACTTTGCTAGAGTTGTTTTTAGAATCTTGTGATGAAAGACCAATAGTAACTGGAGAATATGATTTCTTTTCGTCAACTGTCCATGGGTTAAATGGTTTTTCTTGTGGTGATGGTTGTTGTTGTTGTTGTTGTTCTTGTTGTTTCTTTTCTTTTTCTTTGGCTTGCTCTCTCATAACATCTGAAAGTGAAACTGGTTTCTTTCTTTCAAAATCTGAGGCATTATCAACAATTGGTGATTCTTTCTTTTCACGGATTTCTTCTTCTTGGATATCTTTGAGTGAAAGTGATCTAACACCTGTTTCAACTGACCAAGTTGGAGCACCTGCACCTGCCCATTTCATAACATTGTTTGGTTGGGTCTTATTGTTTTCAATTGAACGAATTTTAGCTTCCTCCATTTCTTTCTTTTTTTGTTCTCTTTCTTCGGCTTGAATTTCGGCCAATGATTTTTTTTTTGGGGCAGTTTCGGTAGGGGCCCATGGGTTGGCCATCGAAATTGGAGCTTCCATTAATGAAGATGAACTGGTTGATTTTTCAATACTTTCAAAAGAGTTTTGTTGTTCAATTTCAGCTGGAGTTTTTAACTCTTCTTGTTGAACTTTTAATTGAGCAGTGGTATTCTTGCTTTCAACAATGGTAGAAGTTTTACCCCAAACAACTTCATTATCGGTGATTTCTTGGGAAGCTATGCTAGTGGAAGCAATAATGGTTTCGGTTGGTTTTTGTTCAATGATTTCTTCAGCTAATGGCTCATCATTTTGAATTTCTTGTAATGGAATTTCTTGTGATTGAATTTCTTGTGGTTTCTCTTGTTCTTGTTGTTGATGTTCTTGTTGCTCTTGTTGTTGTTCAATAACGACTTGTTCTGTTTGTTGAGTTTGTAATTGTTCTTGTTCAATAATACTTTGCTCAACTGATTCAATAGTTTGTTGTACAACTTGTTCAGAATGTTGTTCAACTTGTTGTGGATATGAGAATGGTTGTTGTTGTTGGTATTGGAATTGTGGGAATGGACTTTGTTGGTATTGTTGGAACATATGTTGTAAAATTTGTTGAGATTGGAATGGTTGTTGTTGTTGATATTGGAATGGTGAAAAAGGTTGTTGAATTTGGTATTGGATTTGCATATATTTTTGTTGTAAAACCATAGATTGTTGGACAGTTTGTTGTTGTTGTTGCTGAAGATGTTGGAGTTGGCTTTGAGTTTGTGGGGTTTGTGGTTGTTGTTGAATTTGTTGTTGTTGATGGGCAAGTGTATTTATGTATTGTTGATACATTATAACCTTTTGTTGAATCATTTGGAGTTGTTGGATTAACATGAATTTATAAATTTGATCATTGGAGTTACCCATACCCATGTTATTGTTGTTGTTATTATTATTATTATTATTACTATTATTATTATTATTATTTTGTAATTGAGAATCCCACATTTGTTGTTGTTGTTGTTGTTGCCACATTTGTTGTTGTTGTTGTGATTGTGGTTGTGGTTGTTGTGGTGGCTGTTGTGATAATGATTCAAATGGTGCTGTTGTATTGGTTGATGATGATAAAGATGGTGCTGCTGGTGCTGCTGGTGCTGCTGATGAGCTATATGGTGGAGAACCAGTTCTTTCAATTGGGGCAGAGTCAACAATGTATGGGCTGGAGATAGGTTGGGATGATGAAGTTGGTGATTCGAGTGGAACAAAATTATCTTTACTCTTCTTAACATCGTCAAATAAAGTTGGTTTCAAAAGATCTTTTTCAAATCTTTTTTCAATTTCCTCCTCTAAAGAATCATGTTCGCTACGTAACAAATCATCATCTTCGTTTTCGGTGGAGTGGCTGCTGGTATCTTCCTTTTCAAAAGGCTTGAGATCGCTAATGGAACTAAATGGTGAATCTGGATAAACTACTAAGAGCTTCTTTAACTCTACAAAGTTACTTTCGCCTCTTTTAACCATTAAACCTGGTGTGAAATAGCCAGCTTTGTTCCATGAGTCCATCTCAATGCTGCTGAATGGACCCTGTGTACAATTTTGTGGATCTAAATAATACCAAACCTTTCTTTCATCATCCTTATTTCTCCATGATTGGGATGATGATGGTGAATATTTCTTCATTCTATCATGTGACACTAATAATAATAAAAAATATAAAAAAATTAGTATTAATTATTTTATTTTATTACATAAAATTATTGAACTTACTATCTTTTCTAACACCCCTATTCATCATATTACCAACACCACCCATTCTGGCTCTGTCCCTTGATTTTGAAAGGTTATTATCAAAGCTAAAGTTAATTGGTTGTTGAACTTCTTCTGAGAGGATATGGGTGTGGGAAATTAAATTTTCTGGAATTTTTGCCATTGGGTCATAAAGATTTAAAAGTTCATCTTTAGAATATTTGGTTTTACTACCTCCTGAACCTAAACCATTACTACTGTTACTTAAAGATGATGAATTGGAACCACCTGTTGGTGCTTTCATCATAGAGTTCATTTTATTGCTGTTATTACTATAAGAATTCCATCCACTGAACTCTGATGATCTTCTTAATTGTGGCTGTGGTGATTGTTGACCATAACTAATACTATTATTACTATTGTTTAATTTATTGGTTTGTTGCGGTTGTTGTGAAAATCCATATTGATAATTATTTTGTGGTGATTGTTGTTGCTGTTGTTGATTTGGAACTCCAGCCCATCTAGAAGTAGAAGGAAGTGATGAGTTGGATGCAAAGTTTGTATTGATTCCACCTCCATTCATCATACCGTTTGTTGCAACACCATTTTGACCGACTCTATTTGTTGGATTCCCTGTTGGTTGTTGCATAAAAATGGAATCTGGTGTTGGTGAAGAGTTCATTTGATTTTTGATGGGAGAAACTGGTGATTGCTGATTAAATGATTGTCTGTTTATTGACATTTTGTTATATTGTTATTATTATTATTAAACTAACTTTTTTATAAAAAAATCTACTGCTTTTTTACTTTCTTTCTTTACCTAGCTACTATTAAATTGAAATAAAAGAAATTATTATTAATATAAAACAAAATAAAGTTATTTTGTGAAAATTAAAAAAAAAAAAAAAGTTAAAAAAACCAAAAAAAACCAAAAAAAAAAAAAAAACAAAATTATTTTTTAAATAAAAAAAATTTTATAGGTATTGAATTTCATTAACGTTATAACTATATTTATTTGTTTTTGTTTTATTTTATCTATATGTATTTTAGGCTATTCTTTTTAGACTATCCAAAAACAATAAATCAAAACAAAAATAAAAAAAACAAAAATATTATAATAGAAAAAAATGAATTTATACCGACTATGTTATTATGTTATTGAAATATTGAGTGTAAAAAAAATGAAAAAAAATTTAAAAATTTTTAAAAATTTTTAAAAAAAAATTAAAAAAATTAAAAAAAAAAAAAAAAAAAAAAAAAAATTAAAAAAAAAAAAAAAGAAATAAATAAGTTTTTGAACACAATAATAATAATTTGTTTTATTTGTAAATTAAAAAAAAAAAAAAAAAAAAATAAAAATAAAAAAAAAAAAAATAAATACTAACAATTTATATTTTAAAATGTAAATGTTATTATATAAATAAATGAACTTTTATTCTTTTCAAACAAAGATTTGATTCTATAAGATGCTAACGATAATATAAAAAATAAAAATAAAAATAAAAAATAAAAAATAAAAAATAAAAAAAATAAAAAATAAAAAATAAAAAAAATAAAAAATAAAAAAATAAAAAAATATAAATATATAAAAATAAAAATAAAAATAAAAATAAAAATATTTGTAAAGTTCAAAGTTAACTATAAAAAGAAGTTATTAATTGCTATTATTTTTTAAGATAATAATTTCATATTTACAAAACTTTTATTTTATTTAAATTAATTTTAATGGTGTATCATTATCTATCTATGTTATGTATTTTATTTTTGGGTGATGTGGGTGTGTGATTTTTTTTTAAATATTTTTATTTTATAACTAATTATGTTATTTTTATTATAATATTATTGCTATTATTTTAATGATCTTTTAAGTGAGTTTCTTTCGTTTAAAAGGTTTGAGTATTTATTTTGAAGTCTTGCTTCGATTTCACATTGATCATATACATCATTTTCGATAGTTTTTAAACGTTTTTCCATTTGAACAGTTTCATTGTTTTTGAGGGCGGTGTAGCATTGTAGTTCGATTTCTGAATGTTCCAATTGATCATAAAGTTGACCAATATCCTTAATAATATCGTTTGATCTCTTTTGATAACCACCATTATAAATATTTAGTTTCTTTTCTAGATTTACAGATTTTGAAGATAAAATTTTGATTTTATTATATGTTTTCTAAAATAAAGAAAAGTATTAGTATCAATATTATATTATTATTTGGTGATATTATTATTTATAGTTATACATACATCAAAATCAAATTTGAGATTTTGAATATTTTGATCATTTGTTATTAATGATTTTTCAACAAATTGATTTTCTTTTATAACAAATGTATAGTTTGATTTAAATTCATCAATTCTTTCTAAAATTTGTTCAACAGATAATTGATCGTTTTGTTCTAATTTAATTTGTTCAACTTCATCTTTGATAAGTTTGTCAGCATTGATTAATTCGTTTTGAGAGAAATATTCATAATCCTTATCTTCATTATCAAGTGATGGAGTTTGGGAGTCATTTGGAAAAATAATATTATCGTGTGAGATGATTTTATTGATTTCTTTTTGAATGATCTTTACAATTTGACTATCTAAAGGTTTGGTTGAATCGATTTGAACAATATTTTGATCTGTTGATTTTGATGAATGCTTTTCATCAATAATTTTAAATAGATTTCTTGATCTTGGTAAATTTCTTTTTAATACGGTTGATCTATTTCTAAGTTTAAATTGCTCTTTATGTTTAAGTTGTTGCTCTTCTCTTATATGGGTTTCAGAGCTATCCAACTCAATCTCTTGGTCCTCTTCAATGGTTGGGGCCTCTGATGGTAATTCTAATTTATATTCAATTGATGGTGATGGTAGGCTCTTTAAACTTGATAATAGTTGGTTTTTGTTTTGCTGTTTTTTAAATTTATCTTCATTACTAAATGATGTTTCTGAATCCACATTTTTTCTATTTGGGGTTTGTGCTAATAATGGATTTGGTGTTCTTAATGGTGTTGATGATGTGGTAGTGGTGGTGGTTGTTTGCTTTGGTTTTGGTGTTGCACTTACATCAACTTTTAATGGGGTTTGAGCATTTGAAAGATCTAAAAGATTTTTAGCTTCCATCATAATTGTATCCTCACGTACTGGAGTTCTTGCAATTGTGTTGGCTGGTGTTCTTGGGGCTGGAACTGGGAAGCCATCACTACTTAAACCTTCACCTCCATTTATCTTTTCATAATCTGCAATTTCTTGAATATCATCATCAGTGAGTTGAGGTTCTGGTAATACCATTTTTGATCTTTTAACAGTATGCTCGACATCATTTAGTTTTGAAACATCCGCTATGGCTTTTGGTAAATCGAACAACTCCTTCTTTTTCTTTTTAATATCATCTAATTTATTGGCTTTTTCTTGTCTTTCTAAATATTTTGGATTTTCAATTTGATCAATTCTTTTTCCAATAAATTCTTGGTCTTTATTTGGATCATCCCTTAACTCTTCATCTGGAACATCATAAAACCCTGCTTTTGGTTTAAGATAAAAAGGAATTTCTTTATTTAAGTCCCAACTTGTTTCCTTGCCTTTCTTTTTTGGGTTATAGCTATAAAAAATAAAATAAATATGAATTAGTTTACGAATTTATAAAGATATAGTGTGCATATTAATATATGATAGTTTTTATATTTACTTTATACCAGCTGCTTTTAATTCTCTTTTTTTTTGTAAAAATGCCAATCTTCTTGCCTCCTCTAATTGTTTTTCTCTAAATTTTCTTTTTTCTTTTTTACCTTGGGTATTTGAAAGACGAGCTTTGGCTTCTGATAAAGTTTCTTTTTCGTCCTCATCCATATCAATTGGATCAGGTTTAGCGGGTTTGGTTTCGGGTGTTGGGTCTATATCACCCATTCTAAGACGACGTGGATCATTTTCTTCACCGGTACCAGATTCACCATCTTGTTGTCTTTGAACCTCATCCAATAATTTATTATAACGCTCTAAACATTGTGCTGATGTTCTACCAACTAAAGGTGCAATAGTTTTCCATTGGCTTGGGAAAATTTTAGCGAGATGTAATAACTTTTCTTCTTCCTCTTTGCTCCATTCGGTCTTTTTGATATTTGGGTCTAACCATTCATACCATCTGGCTTTACATTGAGCTGGTGATTTACGTGTTAATAATGATGAAATTCTTGCCCATTGATTTAAACCATACTTCATAATAGCAACCTTTAAAATTTCATCTTCTGTATTTTTCCATACTCCACCTTTAATACCTCTCATTTTTCTTCCGACTTTTGATTAAATGAAAATATGTATTAAAGTTTATTTTTTTTTTCTATTCTTTTCTAGTTTTTCCTTTTTGGTGTCAATTGATTTAATATATAATAAATAAAATAAAAAAAGAAAAAAAGAGATACTATTAAATATTTGGTTTATTTTAAATAATAGTGTTGTTATTATTATTAATATATAAAGCTTATATATATATTAAATGTTATTTATTTATTTGAAAAAAAAAAAAAGAAAAATTATACTATTCAAAAAAATTTAAAAAAAAAATAAAAATAAAAATAAAAAGTTTTTTTTAATTTTTTTAATTTTTTTATTTTAAAAATTTTATCAATTAATTTTTTTTTTATTAATAAAGTAATCAAATAAGGGAAGAAATACTTACAATTGTTTTGGTTTTTATAAAAATTATCTTTTTCTTTTTTTTATCACTAATTAAATATATATACTATATATATTCTTTTTCCATATAAGACAATGAAATTTTCGTTTTATTTAAAATTAAAATTTTTTTTTTTAAAAATTTTTTTAAATTTTTTTAAATTCATTTTTTAAAAATTTTTTTTTTAATTTATTTTATTTTATTTTTTTGTAATTTATTCATCTTCAAATAATTAAATAAAATAGGTATATTTTTATCTTGTATTATGAATTTTAATTAGGGTATAGATAATATATATATTATATATTAAAATAAAAAAAAAAACCAAAAAGAAATCAATATAAATTCAAAAATTATTATTTTTTCTTTATTTTTTTTTTTCATTGTTCACACCCAAATTAAATATTTGTAATTTTCAAAATGTATCATATTGTATCATCAAATATCTCAAAAATATCAAAAAATGACGACGCCACAATAAATAGAGATAATAATAGTTATAAAACTAAATTCAATTCTAAAATTTTAATAATAGTTTTAATTGGTATTGTTTTTCATTTATCATACACTCTCAGTATATTTGATATTTATTTTAGATCTCCATTGGTACATGGTATGACCCCACACAAAATCGAATTAACTCCACCAGCAAACAGACTTGTTTTATTTGTCGGTAATGTATATCATTTAAAATATCAAGTAATCAATAAATAAAAAAATATCATCATTATTAACTTTACCCTTTTAATTTGTTTTAGCTGATGGTTTAAGAGCAGATAGATTTTATGAATTGGAGGAAAATCAAGGTCAATTTCATTCAAGAGCTCCTTTTTTAAGAAGTATTATAGAGAATAGGGGTTCATGGGGTATTTCACACACACGTGTTCCTACCGAAACTAGACCAGGTCATGTAGCATTGATTGCAGGTTTTTACGAAGATGTTAGTGCAGTCACAAAGGGTTGGAAATCTAATCCAGTAGAATTTGATCATCTTTTTAATAAAACTAAATATTCATGGGGTTATGGAAGTCCTGATGTTTTATTAATGTTCTCCGATAATGTAAAAACTATGGAAACACAAGTTTATGCCGAAGAGTTTGAAGATTTTGGTGCAGATGCTTCAAATTTAGATATGTGGGTATTCGAAAAAATTGAAGAGCTATTCAAGAATGCGACCAAGGATCAAGAATTAAATAGAAAATTAAAAAGTAATCAAATTGTAATTTTCCTTCATCTTTTAGGTTTAGATACCAATGGTCATGCATATCGTCCACATTCTGACGAGTATTTATCTAACATCAAATTAGTTGATAGGGGTGTCCAAAAAATATACAATTTAATAGAGGATTTTTATGGTGACCAAAAAACAGCTTACATTTTCACAAGTGACCATGGTATGAGTAATAGGGGCTCACATGGCGATGGCGAGCGTTCAAATACCGAAACACCTATTGTTACATGGGGTAGTGGTCTTCGTGGTCCATTACCATCAAATCTCCAAACTGAAAAGATTGCATCACTCCGTGGTAAAGCAAAAGAAAAACTACCAGTCGACACACTCACACCAGATAATTGGAAGCTTTCACATCTTTTTAGATCAGATGTTTCACAGGCCGATGTTGCTCCATTAATGACATCTTTGATTGGTTTACCATCTCCACTTAATTCCGTTGGTGTTTTACCAATTGAAGTTCTTTCGGAAAACTCACCAGAATATACCACTGCTGCTCTCTATGCCAATACCCTTCAAGTTTGGGAAATGTACCAAGTTAAATCCGATAGCAAACAAAAATCAACTCTTTTATTCTTTAGTCCATTCACAAAGCTAAAAGATGCCAGCAAAACAATTGCAAAAATTGATCAACTTATTGCAACTCGTCAATTTGAGGAGGCTCAAATTTTATGCCATAATTTTATTGAACTCTGTTTAGAAGGTTTAAATTATTTCCAAACTTATGATCGTCCATTCCTTATGACTGTCATCACTTTGGGTTATTTTGGTTGGATTATTACACTTTCACTATATGTCATCAATAACTATACATCAATTGGTTATAATTGCAATGCTAAACAACTTCAAAGTCAAATTAAAAGATTTGAAACACTTTCATCTTATTTAATCGCCATTACTTCATTTTGCTTTTTTGGTTTCCTCTACGTAACTGATGCGCCAGTTCTTTATTATCTCTATTGTAGTTTCTTAGTTTTATTCTGGGCTAAAACAATTCCAGCAAATATTGTACCACTTTATTTATTTTTAAAGGATAGCTTTGCACAGATTCAATCATCAAAGGGAATTTATAGTGGTGGTCAATTATTATCATCCACAACTACAACCACTAATGTATCAATCATCAAGAATTTCATTGTTATTGTGTTAGCAGCTGTTTCAGTAATGGAGTTATTGGTGGTTTCATATTTCTATCGTAGCGTTTTATCATTAATCTACACATTGGTTGGTGTTTTTTCAATTTTTACATTCTATAAAAATGAATCTTTAAAACTCAAACTCCTTTGGTTCGGTTCATGCTTAATGATGTCAGTTTTCCCGTTATTACCAATTGATTATGGAAATGATACAAACTTAGTTTGCTTTGGTGGCGTCTTATTGTTTATTATATCATTATTAAACTATACATTAAATATATTTGGTGGTGCAAGTAAAAATACAAAACCAATAGTTAATTCTGTATTGATGTTTGTTGTATTATTATCAAGTTATATTGTCTATAGTACCGATTCCGCTTTGTCAAGAAAGATTGGGTTACCATATTTCAATCAAATAATTAGTTGGGCTTTATTAGTATCCAGTTTTGTAGTTTTATCAATTTATAGGGGAAAGGGCTTTTATGACCATTGGAATTTCCTTTATCTTTGCATTTCAGTTCCATTCCTTTTATTGTCAATCTCTTACGAAGTTTTATTTGTTGGGTGCTTGGTTTTAAATCTTACTCTATGGATGTACTTTGAATTAAAAACCGATAGTCGTCTTTATCCAAAATTAGTCTCAATCACATCCAATAATGAACCATCAACTTCATTATCTTTTTCAAAATCTGCAATTAAAAGTAATATTAATGACATTAATATAACTCAACAAGATATTAAAAGAGCAATTCTCTATGTAAGTTTAAATTTTATTTTGCAGTTATTTAATTAATATTTAAAATTAATATTTATTTTTAATTTTTTTATAGATTTTCTTTTGTTATGTTGGATTCTTTGGTGTTGGTAATATTGCAAGTATCAGTAGCTTTGAAATTTCATCAACTTATAGATTTACAACAATTTTTAGTCCATTTTTGATGGGGGCCTTATTAATCATCAAAATATTTATCCCATTATTATTGGTTGCAGTTTCATTCTCACTATTAAACAATAGTTTGAATGTACCAAGACCAGGTAGTTTCTTAATTGTAATTGCTCTCACCGATATTATGAGCATAAACTTCTTTTTCCTTGTTAAAGATACCGGCAGTTGGTTAGAAATAGGTACCAGTATCAGTCATTATGGTATTTCAAATGGTTTTATTATTTTACAGCTATTACTATTTAGTTTTTCAACTTTATTGGTCCCAACATCACTAAAGCACAATAATAATAATAACCGAAAAAGAATTTAATATTTAAAAAATAAAATAACGATTATTAAAAATTAAATGAAATAAATAAGAATTTTTTTTTGTATAATTATAAATTATATTTTGTGGTATTTTAACCCAAGAAATATTATTTATTTATTTTTATTGGTTTTGATTCGTTTAAATAAACTATTAACTGATTTAAATAGTCTTTGCTAGATTCTTTTAATATTTTTTTATTTCTTTCTCTGGTTGAGAGCACTGGTGTGTATACATTTAAGAAATCGGATAATTTTTTATAATCTTCACTATTTTCTTGAAGGTAATCTAAAGAAATTTTTAATCTTTCTATGATATCTTGCGAATAAAAATTAAATCTTCTTGTCTTTAGGAAAATTTGAACATATTCGTTATGGTTTTTGATTGGAATTGTTTTTAATATTAAATCGATGGTGACCATTGTAATATTTTCAAAAAAATTTGGGACACTATCATAAATCTTCTTTACTAATGACCTTTGATTATTATTGAGTAAAATTTTGAAAAACTCTTCGTAGTAAATGTGTGGGTGAAATCCAAATAATTTTTTAATATCTAATAGTTCATCCCATTTCTTAATAAAAGCCTTGATATTATGTGGGTCTACTTCGTTGTAAAGATTTCCATAAATTACACAACCAAGATCGAAAGTTAGTTGATTTTTTGATGCAATGTTTTCAAAAATTCCCAATGCCTCTTGGTATTTTTTTTCTTCAATTAAATGTAATAAGTAGCAATTGTATATTGAAACTGACTCTGGATTTGAGGGTGAAAACTTTTTAAGGAAATATTCATCGAAAATTTCTTTTGGGTACTCCATAACTTTTGTTTTTACTCTTAAATATATCTTTGCGCATAATGATGGATGCTCTAAAATTTTGATTCCTTTTGATATAAGAGCTTTGACTAGTGGCATTATTTCTTCCCACATTTCGTCTCTGACTAAAAATGATAAAATTTGATTAAGCGCAACAGTGGAGTTTCGAACCATAATTATGTTCTCTAAAGATACCATTTCTAAAAATTCATTGATCTCTATCACACTAACTGAGTTATAGTATTGAGGATTGAATGATATGCATTTGATATAGTCTGGTGCAACTTTTAAATATTTAATGTAATCTTTGGTATTTCGTCTAAATATTGGAACAGCTGTTAAAAGATATCTATTTGGTGGGATTATATTTTTTTTGAAATAATTTGTAACGAAATATTCTAAAATTGAATCTGGTTCATTATTTGAAATGAAGGTGTTTAATAATACATCGTTATATTCGTTATGATTCTTAACGCTAACATCACTTGCAGGTAATTCTTTTTTAACGATGGAGCTATCGAAGAGATCTAAATCCAAAAAATATTCTTTTGAATAAATTTTATATTCGAATAAATTGCTTGATAAAAGCTTCGTGAAAAGATAATAAACTTTCTTTGGGTCATTTTGATTTATAAAAGTTGAGGACTCTTGTGATAAGTGTTTTATATCTTCAAGACGGTCATTCCAGAATTGAATAAGTTTATTTGGTTGGTTTTTATAAGTTGTAAGTTTTTTAACCATTGATGTATTTGGTGAAATATTTAGTTTAATTGCATAAGTATACCAAAATAATGCTTTATCGAATGAACTATTTGTAAATAAATGTATAAGTGAATCGATTATTAAAACTAATTGATAGGATTTTAAATTTGAAATATTTTTTAATAAATATAAAAATATTATTGATGTTATATTATTATTATTATTATTATTATTATTATTATTATTATTATTATTATTATTATTATTATTAATATTATTATTATTTATAATTTTATCTATACTATTATCTATATTGTCTATATATCTAATTAAGTTATTATTATCTGTACAGTATTGTAGATGATTATAAAATAATACAAATGGGAGCTCTAAATAATTATGATTAATCATTTCTTTAATCAAGCTATCTAAACGATGATAGTCTTTATTCTTGCAGGCCATTTCAAATAATGATTGATATATTACAAATCTGTGGTATGATCTCTTCTTTTTTTCAAAGTTGTTTATGAGTACCTTTGAATGAATTCTAAAATAGACTGATGAATCGGCTTGTAATTTTACTTCAGCTTCTTCTTTAATGAGTTGTGCTGTAATTTGATTAAAAAGTTTGATGGCCTCTTCTAAAAGATTGTTTCTATAATAATACTCCATAAATGTATAGAAAAGATTAATTGATTCATCGTGTGGTTGAAATTTTAATCCTAAAAAATTGCTATAGAATTTATTTGCCATATTGATATCATTATTTTTTAAAAAAAATTTTGAAAAAATTGGCAGAGTTATCCTTGGTTTGATGTAACAGTTTTGTAACAATTTGATAATGTCCTTTATATAGTCGCTATTTTGATCATACATTCTCTGAAGAAACTCAAGGAAACTAGGTGATACTATATAGTCCCTTAAAAAAATTAAATTCCCTAAAAACAGTTGTTTTGCTTTTGAAGTATTATTAGTTTCTATACATTTTATTAAAATTGAATGAAAAGTTTCTTTATAGCAATTTAATTGTTTTGGTTGTTCTTTTAATGTAGGTTGTTCATTTTCTTTTAATTGATTGAAATTGAAGTAATCTATTGAAATGTCTATATTTTTTGCTTCTAAATTTAAATTGATAATTGAATCTATATTATCTGAAAAAACATTTCTGTATCCCGAAGTTTTCCCAAACTTTATAAAGGCGTCATTAACCTTATCCAAATCTATTTTTGAGTATTTATGAAATTCTATTGGATCCAATGACTGTAAATAAGTAATTGTATTTTTAATATTTTCAATACTATTTTCAACATCATCCTTATTACTATCGTTATAATTAAAAAATAAAAGATTAATACTTAAATTTTAATTTTATAAATTAAAAAAATAAAATAAAAAAAAGATAGTACCTTATATTATTACTATAGTTACTATTACATTGGTCATTGATTATATTTGAAGATACAAACGATCTTGCTGGTGAGAAAAATAAATTGCTATTTTTATTATTAAGACATTTTATAAAGTTATAGTTTGATTTTTTAAAACTATATAAAGGTTTTTTTAACATTTATTAATAAAATGATTTATGTAATGCAATCATTTGCAATGATAGGAAAAAAAAAAAATTTCGTAATTTATTAAAAAAAATGAAAAAAAATTTTTATTTTTTTATTTTTTTATTTTTTTCATTAATTTTTTTTTTTATATAACAGAAAACACAACCCCCAACCATGAATGGAAATATAAATAACGACAATAATAGCAGTCAATTTAACTTGTATAAAAACTTTAAAGATAATGAATTTATTACAATAATATATAACTCGGAGGACTCGACAACTTTAATACCCCCAAATAAAATTGAACATACCAATAATGGTTTGATATATAATAAAGAAGAAAGCATAATAGAATTCCCAAAAGATTTACCTGAAGGCTCAATGCCATGTTCACTTTTTTTAAGGAAATTTGTTAGATGTCATTGTAAGTTAATTTATATAATTTTTATATCAATATAAAATTATTAAATTTTAATTAAATTTTTTAAGCGCCAATTGGATTTGTTCAAGGATTGTATATGTATGGTGAAAATAGATGTAAACAAGAAGATGTAAATATTTATAATTGTTATCAAATTCAATTCTCGTCAACAAGAGAGAAAAGAAAGGAAAAAATGGATGAAATCGAAAAGAATAGAATCAAAACTGAAAATGAATTTTATAGTGACCACATTTGGAAAAGAAGGGTGCCACTTAAATTCATGTCTCAAAATGATAAAAAAGAAGGTAAACAAGAAATGGATATTGAAAAAAGATTCAGAAAATATATAGACAATGAATTATTTGGATACACTAAAGAATTATACGATTTTCTTTCAGACGAAAAAAATTCAAATAAAATAGCAGAAAAAAAAATAGATTAATAAAATAAATAAATATTAATAAAAAATAAAAAGATTAATAAAAAATAAAATAAAAACTAAAAAACTAAATAAAAAAATAAAAACTTTTTATTTAATAATTTTTACTATTAATTTCAAAATTTAAAATATTAAATAAACTTATTTTTTAAAGATTCTAAAAACAATTAATTTCATATTACTAATTATTCCATATTTTGTTAATTTTTTTTTTTATTTTTTTATTTTTTTTAATTTTTTTGGGGGTTATATGTGGTTGTGTTTTTAGTTGGTGTTCAAAAAAACTCATAACACAACCACATCCATACACATAAAACATTAGACATACACACACCCACACTTTTTTTAATAATTTTTTTTTTTTAAAACCATTTTTTTTTTATAATAATAATAGGAATGTTGTTGTACTGTACTAATAGTACAACATCAATTATAATAATTTGTAATTTTAATAATTAAAAATTTAATGTATATAACTAATTTTTTAAAACAATAGTAATAATAATAATTATAATTCATTTGCATTTCATTTCATTTATCTATTCATTTATTTAATTTATTTATTTATTAATTTATTTATTTGTTCAATACACAAAATAAAACTATTTGTTGTTTATATTAGAAATTTAAAAAATAAAAAAATAAAATAAAATTAATTTTTTTTTTCAAAATTTTTATTTTTTTTTTTTTTTTTTTTTTTTTTAATTTATTATTCTCCCAACTCCAAAACAAACTAGATAAAAAATTTAAAACTTATTTGTTTTAAACTTTTTTCTTTTTTTTTTTCAAAAACGAGACGTCTAATAAACAGCAGATCCTCAACCAATCAGGTTGACGATTTAAGAAGATTAGGAAGAGGGTTATTAGAACAGCCATCTGATATATTATCAGAAATGTCACAATACTTTAAATATGTCACAGAGAAGGGTATCGCTAACTTGTCTAATTATCATTATTCAGGTGTAGATAATTCATTTTGCGGAAATAAATTTTTGAAACATTGGTGGAACTATTGTGTAGAATTTACACCATTATGGTTAGCGTATGTATTATTTGTAAAAACGAACGAAGAAAAAATTAAATTTAACTAAATTTTTTTTTTTTTGTTTTTCACAGCCCAAATGTTATAACAAGCGTTGGTTTACTTTGTAATATTGGTATGTTTTTAATTATGTATTTTAAATGTAGCACATTAACTGAAGCAGCACCAAGATGGTGCTATTTTGCCGTTGCATTTTTAATTTTTGCCTATCAAACATTAGATAATGTCGATGGTAAACAAGCAAGAAAAACCAAATCATCATCACCATTGGGAGAGTTATTTGACCATGTTTGTGATGCTTTAAGTGTTTCTGTAAGTGTAAAAAACAAAAAAAAAAAACATAATCAAACACAGCATATTTATTAATTTAACTTTTAATGAAGATGTTTGCACTTGTAATGTCAGCAACATTAAGAATTGGCCCATACTGGGCATTTTTCACATTAATTGTAGGTGTTTGGCCTTTTTATTTGGCTCATTGGGAAGAATATCACGCTGGTATTTTAGTTATGGGTGAGTTTAATGGCCCAACCGAAGCTCAAGTTTTATTCATTATTATTGAAATCATTACAGGTATTTTTGGTTCAGAAATTTGGACTTGGGGCAATGGAGAAATTACAGTTGGTATTGGTTTAACAATTATTGTTTCAGTTACTGCTTCAGTTACTTGTTTACAAAAGTAAGTTATAAATCAATTTCAATTTTTAATATATTTAACCCCACAAAAATTAATAATCCTAATAAATTTTTTTTATTATTTAATAGCTTTAATAATACATGGAAGTTAGAAAATAGAATTCCATTTTCAAAATGTTTACTCCAATTACTACCAATTGTTACCTTTACAGCCCTCATTGTAACCTGGGCTTCAGTTTCGAGAAATACATTATTAAAAGATGAGCCATATCTTTTTATTATGACTATTGGTATTCTTTTTGGTTATATTCAATCAAGATATATTACTCAAAGAGTTTGTCACGATGATTGTCCATATACTTATCCAATTTTTATTCCAATGGTAGCAGTATTACTTAATTCAATTATAGCAAGTTCTGGGTTTGTGTTTAATTATTTAATTAGTTATTTTTTTATAATTTTAAATATTAATAATAGTTTTTTTTTTATTTTAAATTTTAGAACCATTTTTATCAAAGAAACTACTGCACTTTGGTTCTTATTTGCAGTTGCATGCATTCAATTTTTATTATTTGCATATTTCACCACTCAACAATTATGTGAACACTTAAAAATTAAAGTATTTACAATTCCATACCCAAGCGGCGCAAATCAACAAGAATACTCATCCATGCTTATTTCCCAAATGGAAGAAGGTGAAAGTAAGCTTGGTGAAGATCAAATTAGTCAAAGTGACATCGAAGAAATTTAAAAATAACACAATACCAATAATATTTATTTAATTTACTACTTTTTTATATTTAATTATATTTAAAATTTTATAATAAAAAAAAAAACATAAACCAAAACCAACAAAACATAATTATCGAAATTTAAAACAACAAAACCCATAGTCTTTTATTTTTTATTTACAAATCTATTTATTTTCGTTTTCTTTATTTCTTGTAAAAACCAAACATCTTATTAATGAGGATAAATCTTTTTTTGAATCGGTAAATTTAAAACCACAGCTTTCCATTATTTCATTTATATCATTTTCTTGATCTTATCCAATTTCAAAAACTATTTGCCTCTAAGTTTTCTTTTTTTTTTTATCTTATAAAAAAATTTTCTTTTGTCAATTTTTTTCAGTTATTTCTATTTTCTTTTCTTCCTCCTCTTTATCTATAATAAAAAAGGAGTGCATTAAAGCTTCTTAATTTTATAAATTATGAATTAAAAAAAAAAATTTTGAAAGGTTAATGATACTTTTACATTTGTAAACAGTTTTGTTAAATCGAAAATGATAAATATACAAAATTAGACTCACTAAAAAAATTGTGGGTAGCAATAAGTTTGGTAATTTTAGATACAAGTAAAAGAAGATAAAAAAAAACTCACAAATTTCTTTCAAATAATTATAAATTTTTTTTTTTTAAAACTGATATTGAAACACACCCCTTTTTTTTTTATTGATAATAAAGAAAAGATAAAAAAAATTGAAGTGTTTTGGGTAGTTTTAATTTGTAAAGTAAAAAAAAAAAGATAAAATTTAATAAAAAAAATAGGGGTGTTTTGGGAAGTTTTTTTTTTTTTAATGAAAATTTTTGTTACTAACCATCTACTACTTTTTACAAACATTATACATATCCATTTTAATGCCCAAAAGACAATTTATTGAATTAATAACAGAAGTTAAAAAAAAAAAAATTATAAAAAAAAAAAAAAATTGTTAAAAAAAAATTATAAAAAAAAATTTATTAATTATAAATACCATTCTTTAATATTCATTCATTCAAATATATATAAATTAAATTTAATCCTTAAGGTTTAAAAATAAATAAAAGTAATATAAAATTAAATTTATGTAATAAAAAATAAAAAAATTATTTATCTTTGTTAATTTTATAGTGTCAGACATATCGGTAGGGTTGTATTCTGGTTTTT